ATTTTACATTGTCTTCGATGGGGCTTCAATTAGTTCAGTGCACCCTTAAGAGACAGGAATTCATCGCCTCGGCTTACTAGGTCAAAGTTGACGACCTAAAGTGACCGCCAGTAACGATTTCCAGGAATGGTGTCACTTTACCGTGACAGTTGAAAATGGGTTTGCTTAAACTTACATTCCATGTCTAAATGGCCTGAGGGAGCGAAAGTTCAAACCATGGTCAAATTGCATACCGCACAAGAGCGGATTTCAGACTCGGAACCAAATTTTTGGAGAGACCAAACTTTTCGGGGAGGGGGTCAGCAAATATTTTGATTCTTCATAGCCTCTCTGATGGCTGAGACTACATTTTGATCTCCTTTTAGGGCGAGGGCATGACCTCGCTAGCCACTGGAGCTAGCCTTGTCCTTCCGTGGAAAAGATCATTTTAAAGAGGTTCATACGTACATGTACACAGAGGCAATCACACCTTCTTGAAATTATCTCATATAGAAAAGTTCATATTGGATTTAACCAACGAACTGAGTAAGTATACCGTATTGTTACCGGTCCCTTTGGAGAATCGGGATCACGTTCTTTTCTCGGCTATGCACAGCTTGGCCAGACAGGGTTACATTTGGCATTCAACCAGTTATTCTACCTGCTTTCAACTTTGCGCTGGTAGCTACTTCCGCTGTCCCACACACCGCGTTCATTGCCAAGGTCGTCCGGCTAAATTACAAGCTGAACCCGCCTTTTTATCCTTGCATGCTCCAAGGACATACCCTTATCGATTAGTGTCTATTCCCGCACTCAGTTCACGTGACTGGTATCAGCTCCTGGTAGCACCGACTGGTAAGAGCTCCTTCGGTCGTGATTCGGTTAGACAATTATGTATGATAATATGTCCGAGTAAACTAGGTATCTTCTTTCACAGGGTTAAACCCCTACATCATTTCACATCCACTCATGGCCTCTCTGTTCAAAAATAGATTGACTAGATTTTTCCCGTTTGGTGGAATTATTTGATGACTGAACATGCTTCAAATAGACAGACACGTTTCGTGCACAAAAATGCAAATTAATTTTACGATGTTTCAGGGCACCAGTGTTGTAGTCGAGTCACCGAAGTCGCGTCCGGGTCCGAGTCCCGAGTCCCAAAGCCTCAACTCCAAGTCTCGAGTCAAAAACCTCGAGTCCGAGTTACGAGTCACAAGTCATGAATCAAGTTGTTCAGCCAATTATTCTAAGTGTATCAAACCATAGAGGAACATCCATTGTCAGTTCGTTGTGTGCTATCTGTTTTGCTTATGCTGATTAATTACACACATTGCAAAAGCTAGCACGGGTGCATACAAATAAATTTTCGACGGCATATACGGTAAATATGTTTAATGAAAATACATGACTCGAGTCACGAGTCACCAAGCTCAAGTCCGAGTCATCATGGTCGAGTCCGAGTCTTTATCCAATGTGACTCGAGTTCGAGTTCCAGTCATGAAAAAATGTGACTCGATTTCACCTCGACTCCGAGTCCTGGACTCGGTCATACAACACTACATGGCACTGTGTCATTATCAGCGAGGCTCGCTAGACCAGACTATAAGTAGTATAAAGGGATTATTCCATTCAGTTACATTAGTTCATAACATTTGTGAAAAACACACAACAAAATAACTGACGAAGTGCAAACATCTGGCTTCACTGTACAAACTGTAATGCAAAATTGACATCAATATGGGGTAGGCCTACTCTACCACCACTAGAATCGACGATGTGAGGAGATATGAAACAAGCTTTCATGACTAGAATACGTGTAGGAAAGCAACATTACTGTGACTTTCCACCTTTGTGGCAGTAAAAGGGAGAAACGTCAATAGTTTGGTTTTATGTAAATAAGTTTGCATACTCATGAGCTAAAACATGGTGTTATCCAAGGCAGAACAGCTGTGGCTCCTTAGCTCTTAATGTTTATCATATTTTTCTATATTTCCTTGGAGAAAGTTTCGTTTTTTCCTCACTTGAAAATCGTGTTAAGCAGCTTTTTGAACAATACAGACGGCCAGTTTTCTTCAAAGCTTTGTCGGGGGTAATTGTGAAGGACGAATTTTTGTACTCTATTCTTTTTGTCTCTGAAATGTCTTGATGGAAGGATTTCCTCAGAATGGAAAAATTGTCACCTTTTGGTTACTTTTTATGAAAAGAAGCACCGTATTGTTTTCATTGTTGTAAACAAAGTGATATATATACAATACTTTGAGCTGAAAGTCCACCGCATTGTACGGTCAAGCGATTCTTTTTGAGAAAACGGACTTCCACAGAAATTGACAGTTTGGTTTGTTTCCAGACTTGTTCTTTTAGGGAAACTAGTTAGTACATGTCTGACAAATGACGTGATATTATCCCCTTGTAGCTCCTTAACCCTACAGAACCTGTGCGGCGTCTCCCTCCGCCGACATTTTCTCCGATATCATCGCCGACAACGTTTTTTTTTCACGCCAAACTTTCAAGAGTTTTCCAGTACATGTACGATATTAAATGCACCGAGACCACCGAGATCTTGATTCTAGCTGGCACTACGGCCAGAAAATGGCGGACTCTTTAAAGGTTAAAACTCAGCATGGTGACTACGAACTACGAACTCCCCCGAACTCATATTTTTTCGACCTCACATATCACCAATGCCAAAACAGAGAAATAACTTTGCATAGCATTTTCCTATGTGCAAAGAATTAGACCTAGCTATATCTCGCATGAAACACCTCTAGAAAATATAAACCTTTTCGAGTTCCTTCTGACTTTCGACTGTCTTTCAAAATTCTCCAGGAACTAAATGACAGAGGCAGATATTACAGCTTACTGCAACTGCGTTATTGTGGATATTTTTTGCAGGAATATCTTTGGAACGTACCGGTTTTGGTGTGTAGATCTTGCTTGAACTGTAGAGCTGCTTGCGCAGTGTTGGTTGACCGAGGCTACAGGCAACGACTGACAAAGCGATGTCCCCACTTGTTTTTTTGGGTGTGTTGGTTTAGGGTAAGCTACCTTGCGCACTTGATATGACCATGACAGCCAATAACAACCCGGCACGAGGCACGCGATGCAAATAAGCGGAAGCTTGGTGACGTCCTCATTGGATTGATTTTTTAATATCTTCTTTTTTTTTTAGCAAGAGGAGACGGAACTAGCTGCCGAAGCCAAGTTAGCCAATCCGAGGCTGCGATTCTATCTTTTCTTGAACCTTTGGGTGGCGGTGCATAGTATGCTGACAATAATGTTATACAAGTCTTTGCAGTAACACGGAGTGGTGTCGTTGGAAACAGAGACGAAAACTATCTGCAATTAACAAATCGCCTCCTTGACCCCTGATGGTATATTTCTGCTTTTAAAACGTGTTTGTCACAATTTAACCGTCTGATGCCTATGGCACGCACTGCTCAACGTTCATGGATTCACTTTGAAAGTCATTTGAGGTGAAACGATTACCAATAAAACTGATAATTATAATAAAAACAACACCAGTTTCTGAAATTTAATCTCAAGTATTTATAGTTTAGTCTAAAATATTATAAATATTCTTAAACACGCGCTTGTTGCTATAATAAAGGTAGCTATTTTTACCCTTATTTAAGATCAATACTTGTGTTACAAAGCCATAATGTGGACATAATCGTCGGACTCCAGTTTTGATTTTCCTCTTTCTTGCGAAGGGCTTTGCAACCATAGACCCTTAACCAACCGTAGACCCTAATAACCTCTGTTGTTCAAAATCCATATCTGATTTGGGCACATAAGTTCACATTTCATATCTGATGTATAGGGACATTCCATTATTTTCCTGAGCTGTATCTTATTAAATGGGAAGAGAAAACTCATTTACTAGCAAAATACGCTCTTTTATCACTCTGCCTTCAATAAATCTGTCCTTCACTTCAACTCCTTTTCATCCTCTATAATGTGGACACTGGCACATAGGCACCGATACCCCATTACAGTCAAGCGAATTATCAACACGTAAACTTGCATGCTTAATTATGCATTCAAGTTCATGTTTTAATAATTCGCTTGCGCCTTCCCGAGGAAACGGAGTTGTATTTGAGTAACCGACAATACGGGCGATTCACAATAGTGCGCCTCTATGAGTTTTGCGATGCGTGGGCCAATCACAACTTACGATTTTTCGACCATATGCGAACGCGCAGTGGGGTCAACATATTTTGCGCATTGTGGTCGAGTTTGGGCGGTCCGTTCTTGACACGGGTTTCGTGTTCTCGAGCTCGAACGGCGGGAACACGACCGAAGAACACTGTTCTCAGAACAGAATCACACCACCTCCTCGTCAGGATTTCACACGAACACACGGAAAAATTCGTGCGATTTGATTTTTGAACAGCCGCAAAAAGTACCGATATGGCTTTAAAAAGCCGAAGACAATGTTTTGCAAAATTAACATTTATAATTTTCCATGACAGAAATGAATTTTTTAAATGGAAAAGAAGTAAGCCCAGTTATCCAACATTAACTGCCGAAGAATGCTCAAGGACGCTGCCATGTTGCATGTTGCTTGCCACAAATAACAACTAGCGCTAAGAACCGGTTGTACATTCCTGGCGTTCGAGCGACCGACCAACGAACAACAAATCGAGCTGTTCGAGAACAAACGAGAACAAGCCGCCCGAACTCGGCCCCAAATGATTGGCCAACGCATTAAAACTCTTGGAGGCGCACTATTGTGAAACGCCGGAATTCTTTGTAGTTGAGGATGCACTTTGAAACCTGAAGGCATGGCCGTGGGAGTTGCGACATGAGTGTCTCAGTTGTTGGAACCAATATGGTGGCTTAGGCCTAAGTGTCCTTGCACATGGACAAGTAGCACAAAATAGCTTCATGCTGTACTGCACACATAATAAACAGCCATTTTGGTTCGACAGTCTGAGGTTGGCGCAACTCTTTCTATAAGCAGCTCTGCCTGAAGGATACAGGCCACCATTTCAAACCCCATTGAAAACAATGTTAAATCAGCGTTGTTCGGGGCTCAAAAGCCTTGAAGCCAGTATCCTGCAGGGTTTTTCAAACCCCCCAAAATCATTGTTTTGTCCTTAGTCTTTCCATTTCTTTTAATTTTTGTGTAGTGGGTAAACCATTTTTAATCATCCACCATGAGGGGGGAACCATCTCTTGTTACAAACAAACTGTAGCAGCACTTTTCATGCTAACGATACGGGGAGAAATTATCACTTGAATTAGTGGACTGCATCTTGAAGTCGAAACAAGAACAAAATGAAGTCTACATATGGTCATTCTTCAAATGACACCCCTCTACTTTCGTGGGTACTGAGGATCATTTTTCAACCGCATTTTGAAGCCATTCTGCCCTCACATGAAGGCCCAAAGAGTCTTCACGGAGTTCATCGTGGAAAATATTCACACAATCTCATCCTTTTGGGGGCCAATCTCTCTGTATTTTCAAAGGAAATTGTGCTAGCACTTTTCGTGCTAATTAGCTGGCCAAAAATTATTACTTGAATTAGTGGACTGCAACCTGAAGGCAAATCTTCAGGTAAGTTCGGACGCTAACTCAATAAAAATTAATACCTACAGACCAGACAACAGCAGGCGCGAGAACGTTAATTTCAGGAGAAGCGCAATTTTTAAAAACCACGGGCAAACTGCTATCTCATTCCCAGGAGTTACTTTATTTGGCGCACTGCTCGACGACACAGAAGGTAGGTTTGGTAAACTTGGTCTTCAAACCTTTTGCACAGTTCTTGATATTATCTACGTGGCGCATTTTTCCCCCTCGCACTAAAGGGTGTTATTATCTAGGGACAAACGGCATGAAAGGTGGAATTATGATAAATTTCACACATCCCTGTCGTTTAAAGACTTTATAAAATGTGCATAAACTTGATTTGACACAGTTTCTCGAGTTTATTTGAAAGATCCCTTAGAATTGTTTTCTAAACGTTAAAAATAAGTAATCGATCAAGTTTTAACAAATATGAAGCTGAGGTTATCATCATCATAAATTTTGAAACGAAAATCATGTATACTGGATATTTCCTGAGAATTTTTGAAAGTATGTGACGAATGGATGACAATGGAGGTGTGGTTATAAATACAATTGATAAAACAGTAACTTCATTCCAGCACTACTGACAACTGTACAGCATAATGGTAAATTACATTTAACAGTATTTTTCAGTCATCGTTCATGCGTTAACAAACAGAATATCTGATTTTTGTTTAAGAAATTAACTGAAAATTAACCAGCACTTTCTCAAGCCACTTATTCACAAAATGCTTGAGCCCAACTCTGTAAGGCGCGCATTAGCCTGTATTTGTAACAGTGCGGTGGTCGTGCATATACATGTACATATACAGTTGAAGTTCCTTCTGCTGGGAAAAGCAAGATTGCAAAAATAACAATGCCGTTCAAGATACAGAATTTGTAGGTTAGCTTTGTAGTTTTTATAACTCTGCTAAGTAAAAATTGTTCACATGTGAGTTCCCCATAGTGTGCTGTTTTTCAAAGTTACATTTTTTTGTATTGTTGGTGGAGAATCCAGTAGGGAATATAAGTTTTGTGTGTGTGTGAAACCTTGCCAGAACTGCTTATTAGAGACCAAGTACCATTACTTTTTGGGCTGCATCGGTCACTTGCCACAACGTAATAAACTGAACTTTTTGGCCCACCGCCTGAGTCCGAGTAAGATTCCAAGTCCGACTCTCGTCCGTCCGAGTCCTTGAAAATAGGGACTTGAGTCCAAGCGCAAGGAATCAAAGGTGCTTGCGAGGAATTTTTACTCTCGAGCTCGATTGGATTGACGATGTCGTCCATCCAGTGCAGTGCAAGCCTCGTCCCCAGTGATTACTGTATTTCCCCCGCATAAGTTCTAATTGGGAAGGGAGTGAGGACGTGCTGCACTCACCATGGGGACGAGGTTGGTCCGGAGCCCCTGTACGCAGGATCCACAATTATCGAACGTTATAGGACGGACCCAAGTAAAAATCCCCGTAGGTGCGGACTGCGCGAGGGTTCCGGAAACTCGCTGCGTGACCTTTTATTTTCAGGCTCTATTTTCCCCATAAACTATGTTGTTATTGTACCTCGTGAACTTAAACTTGTTTCAGCCAGACAGGATAAAGAACCAGCATGATGGTGCTTATAAATCAAACAGAACAAAACTCTTGCTAGTTCTTCATTCTGGGAAAGGAAACTTGTGAAAGGGTTGTAGAAAGATTCGCACTCCCGACTGTACCCCCAATCACATCTCAAACAGCTCTCACATTTGTTACAGTTATACTCTAAATACATATAAACATAATACATGTTAGTATTTTCATGTGCTAGCTGGAAGAAAATATTACTGTTACAGATTCTGCCTCTATTTTGACTGTTGCTTCACAGTGCTAAAATGTAAGAAACCACCCCTTCAAACTTGTATTTTGCCAGAATTAGGCCCCAGGGCATGATTAGGGTGCAAAGACAGGCTCTGCATGTCACTTATTACACGATAATATCAGCCGGTGTTTGTACTTTCAATCTCTGCTTCAACTTCGTTGCTCAAACCGGGGACCCCAGAAAAGAAAATCTCAACTCTGCTTTTGTGTACAATCAGTGAACTACATAATTGGGAGTTCAATGGAAGAACAGAATGAATGTCGTCTGCACATTCTGGTAGCACAATGTACGTCCACACGCACACACATTGCAGTGTTGTGTCGCACAGAACGTTTGCGTACGTGTATGTCATACGTCACCACCCGGAAGTATTTCTCCCGTGATTTGAAACTTGCGTGCAATTTTGCACATTTTTCGTAAAGTCTTCATACCCAGTAACGGTAAGTAGAGTAGATAATGAAAGGATACTGGGTGTACAAAGCGGACATAAATTTCGAAAAGTATGTGGCTTAATAATGTTATTGCCCACTCGGTACAACTCTTAGTGATAATAATGTTGACGATTAAGAACTCTTTCCACAGTGTGACTCATTGTACAATATCATTACCAGCTGTGTGAGGGTCCACAGATATGCTAAAATGTCCGTGCTTATTATATACCATGTACTGATCTGGATCTCGAATAGTGATTCCACCGGATGGTTCACTGACACTAGCATGGAGCAAATCACCTTTGCCGTCAATGATCGAGATCCAGATTCGAGTGAAACAAACAGGCCCAAAGTATATAGAGATATTGGTACCACGGCAAACATCGCTCATGTTCTCGCGACCTGGTTCATGTGTATTTGTGGCCTATCACGCATCTAATCTCAACTAGTAAAATATCGCAATCTATTACCGATAAATGTGCGATTTCCCCAAGGATAGCGTGGTTCAAGTCAATCTATGTGTTCGGACCTATTTTCTGAAGACGTAACATACTGAGCTTCCCCTCTCAACTTGAAGATTCGATGCCATTTGTCAGTCATTTAACTTTTCCTTTAACAAGATTTATCTTTTAACAAGACCATTTCTATACCTTTCTCTGGCTCCTTTGTAGAGCGCCGCTACACTGTAAATGAGTGAGAGAAACCATTGACATCTTGATGCCAGCATGAAGTTACTTCTACTCGCGATATTTCTTACCTCAACTGGTAATATTATTGTAGAAGTAATAATAATAATACTTACAATGGTCAGTTCTAGCGCATTTTACGGAAAGTCTCTATGCGCTTATTATCAAGTCTGTCACAAAGCAGAAAAGACTGAGCATCCCTAATAAACTTGCATGCATTTAATCCCAATAACCCTAACATTCCTGAATCCTCAAATTCTAATGTGATTTTTTGCACACACCCTAGGAAGTTAGGGTTGGTTCTTGCCCATGGAGTCGAGGATTGGAGTGAAACATACGTGGACTCCATAGGCTGCGTGCGCATTCCTTCACTAGCCCCTGGTCGTGTAGAATACGAAAATGACGCCGAGTGGCTATACAGGATGAATAAAAATAAACGTAAAGTTCATCGTGGGGGCATTTAAAATGCTGCACACTAGCGTAAATATCCAAAAGAATGGGGTTTAATTATACAGTACCAGGGGTTAGATCATTGATCTTCATTATAAAGAAATCAGTGAGTTAGATCGCGCAATGCATAATGGGAATATGTCTGTGGATCGTACCCATGGGAACGAGGTTGTGTCGCAACGTATACATTCATGGCGCTGATTACCAAAGTGCGCGCGCGCAAAATTTGCACTTAAAAACGGCAAAGCATCAGACTATGTCTGATTTCGTGTGATCTGATTGCAAAACGAGGGATCATCTTTGTTAATGGATTTCCAGGAAACGGAGCATAAATAATGAAAGTTTTCATGACAAATCCAAATTATATTAATTGTTTCATTTTTCAGTAGCATTGATTTTGTGCCCTGCCTCTAAAAAGAAAATGAAAAATGTGGTTTTAAATAACCCTCAAATTATTTTATTTTTCACCTGAAAAATTGAGTGTTGCCAAATTGGATCAATATCTATTAAAAAAACAGTTTTCCTGGTTATAAAAACTAGATTTCTATAAATTAAAAGACTGTTTTAATCAATTACACTAAAAAAATGATGAATCTGCTGGATAAAAATGTTTGTAAAATGAATTTGAACCAAATTTTCGCGCCAAATCGTGTGAATACAGACATGTTGTAATGGAAAAATACGTCACATATTTTATCTAAAAAACATTTATGTCCTAATAAAAACTTAATTCCCAGAGTCAGGAATTATTTATTGCTTTGTCAATCTGTTGGCAAAAAAGAGGACACCTTTGTACCATACTCAAAGCTTATGAAATTCTCTTATTGACCATGCACATATCTAAAAGTCAGTTTGAGACTGATTTCTGATTTTGGTGTGCAGTTGGTCACAAATTAACCTTTATTTTTTGCATTTTTTGAATTGGTAGTGAGTGAAAAATTGAACTTAAACAGTCAAAACCCTAGAAGAATTATTTTCCTTGTTGAGTATAGCAAGTCAAAATTAAACTGCGTCACGGGACACTAAAATGAACCTTCAATTTTTGGGCAATTTTTAAAGTGCTACTGAAAGTTGAACGTAAACAGTTAAAACCCTGAAAGAATATTTTTCTGGTTCGAGGTGTGTTATAAAACACATATGGAATGACCAAATAGGATAGTGCAGTTTGCACGCCGTGCCCCCGAGGGACTGTGAGTGACCGAAAGAGAGTCCTATTTCCCGAAGCCTAATGTCCGTCCATATGTGTATACTAATGCACGGCTGTGGATTGGAGCAAGAGAAGCAGAAGATACAACAAGACACAAAGAGATGCCAAAATAGGAAATGATGGTGACAATAAAGTGCAGACCGATCCAAACTGTTACTGTAGACGAGACCATCACCAGACCAATCACAAGACCATCACCAGACCAATCACAAGACCAGCAGGTGTAAGGCCAGTCCAAAGACCTTTTCAGTTCATGAGCTTGTGACTTTATTTCAAAATGGAGATCTTGTGTTAGTCTTGAGTCCAATCAAAAGAATCCTTCAACTGCAGAGTCTCCCTTTCCCCTAAAAAATTAGAAATTAAGTCAATGATCCTGGCTCTAATACAAATAATGCTACCCTTGGAGTTTTATCCGAGCAATATAGACCACTCTCACATCATACGTGTGTAGTCGAATTCGTTCAAAATGGGCATTTGTCTCATCAATTTTGAATAAGGGTGTTTTTTCTGCTCGTATTTAGTAGAGGCCGTATTAGTATCTGGTGTTCTAATAGCTGTGTGGGATTCCTAACACTGTGAATTATTGTTTTAATTTTGTACCGACGGCTAACCATAGTTTCAGCAGTCCCTTGCATAAAAAACACTACTTTGACGTCAAAGAGCAAACCCTTGTTGAAACAACAGGGCGAGGTCTAGTCTAATTCAAGTGAGAATTTCTGGATATAGCTCATTAGAATGAAAGTGGCCTCCCAGTATCTTTTGAAAAAGGAGACTTTTTGGCTCCCAAAATGGTGACATTGTGTAAATCGTTGTCAGGACCATTTCCCTGGGTGTTGGGGCTTTATCTTAGAGCAGAAGGGCAAATAAATACGGTTGAAATATGGTCCCAAGTGCCCAAGAAACTTGAGGGCTGCCACTGGAAAATGGCTGAGAGTAGACCTCGGAAAAATCACCTTTGGGGGCGATTTCGTTCTGTGGAAATAATAACAAATATCATTGGTTAACCCACCAAAAATTGAAAACAAATTGAAAGATTAGGCACCAGGCAATAATTTAATTTGTGTTCACGGCACTTCAGGGATGTTGGTATGCATATTACTGAGCCCTAAACAGTGCTGATTTTACACTGTTTTCAATGGGGCTTGAATTAGAGGACTGTACCCAACAGCATCAGGGTGAACTATCTTGAATTCACCATAGCTGCTTTAAAAAAGTATTTTTGTAAGATCGAGGAATAGCACGTGCGTCAAAAGTCACATATTTTGTTTTTTCTTTTTCATATTGGCCCATAGGCACGTGTGCTGCTGCTAAACATAGACAAACTTGACAAACTTAGGCCTAATAAATTTACTCAGACCAGGCAGTTTTTCCAATCGTGGCCACCATAATTATGTCCAAAAAGCTCATATCTTGTTCAACCTCGAGAGCACAATGCTTTCATTTCACTCCTTAATTTCCACTACAGGTGGCGTGGGGGCTATAGGATGTTACGAGTGCAGTTGGGCCTCTAACACTGGTGAAATGGCGGCCTGCAAGGACCCCTTCGACAGGCCTACGGCGGTGTCAGTAAAAAATTGTTTTGGTTCGAGTGGATGTTTTGTAAGCCATGCATCAGTCTGACTTTCTCTCAAAGAAACAGCCAATTAGCCATCCTAGCTTGAGCTCGTAGTTAAATTACAGCACTTGAAAGTTCTTAAATTTATTACTGGGTATCGCGCTTGGAACTAAATTTTGCCACGATTTCAGGAACTTCAGCAATTTGAAAAAAGTATACCCGAAAATACTTGCGGAACTACGAAAAGTAAATTTTGTGACTAAAGCGGGAGGAGTTGTCTGCGGTTAAGTCACAAGACAAAAGGGGCTGTATAGCTGCAACAGGGCCTGCAAAACCAACCATTTCAAGGTAGATATACTGTGTGTCTGGGAAATGCGCATTTGCAGGGTTTTTTTACCTTACACCGACGGATAATAATAAGACGATTGCACCCGCTAAATCACGTTACTTATACTGGGTTTCAACCCCATTTTAACGTGTGTTTTGAGCGTTGTTCAAAAAATAATACAGCCAAATTCCGGTACAGTACCCAGCATATCAGTAGCCTGAATTCGGTAGGGCCGACCTGCCGTCGGCTTTATTTTTGCTAAGTGATACTTATGGAACACTTTGCTTTGGGTGGGCGCAATCGATCTATTAACACTGTATATCTAGTGCTCGTCCGAGAGCTTGTAAAAATGCACAAGCTTACTCGGGTGGGACTCTGACCCACGACCTCCTGCTTTCTAGTGCAGACGTCTGGACCACTCGACCAAGCATGCGGGGGTCGGCTTGCCGGTCGAGTCACATGTATAGCAGTGGGTGTACCGCGAAAGCATTTCACGATGTACTTTGCGTCGGACAGATATTAAATTTAATTTACGTTTTTTTATTTGCCCTTACACCGAGGTATATTATCGATAATGAGTGCGGGCAAAAACCCGTCATTAAAATCAAAACCAATCGTATTTCACTTGAATGTGCACAAATCCGTATCGTCTAGTGTGTGACAGGAACATACCTAGTCATGTTTGCATGCTGCAGGGAGACATTTTTATGAATCCAACAATTAGAATAATTTTACTGAATAAAATTGTTCTTTCACGAATAGTGTTTTTTTGCATGCCATAGTAAATCTTTGCATCACCTACGGGTTCAGAGATACTTTGTACCACTGAATAGAACTTCCATTTACCATAAAATGGAACTTGTAAATTTACTGTCTAATGCATCATTCGATGTCAGTAGACCAGAGATACACCCTTCGGATAATGGAAGACTATCCTGGTGCTGTTTATTCAAAGTCACATTCCACGTTTTAGTATAGGCCTACTCTAACCCAGCGGGCACAAAATTTGATGGAATATAATTATATAGTCGCAGTCTCCCATTCCATTAATTACATGTACCAGCATTTTTTTCCTCTCCAGAAATCCGTTAGTACTGTTGACAACATCAACACGATTAGGAGAGGGTGCCAAACGGATCAAGACTGCAAGACGGAAACGTGTACTGATGGGACATGCAATTACTGCTGTACCGACGACAGATGCAACAGAGCAGGCGGGATGACCTTTAACCTTCCCCTTGTGTCTATCGCAACGATTTTAACACGAGCGTTCGCAATCTGATGAGATGAGAAAGAGAATTAAGCACAAACTTGAACTGACACAGTATCAGCGCTAGCAAAGGACCAACTCATTCACGACGTCCGGAGTGGCATGGTAACGAACTTCAGCAATAACACAAAATATGACGCGCTACATGGAGGACTCATATAACAGAAAACATGATTTCAAAAAATGAACATCAGCAGTTTACTGAAGTTTCTTGCACCATTAGAAAACATTTACTTACGACAAAATGTTGCTCAAGACCTAGTCAAGAAAAGTACGTAAGCCTACGGTATACATGCGCTTCTGAAAGTAATGTTCATTATTGCTTAGGAAAAAGAATGTTTCCCCCGTTCTTGTGTACTATCTATCTAAAACAACCCCTTGCTACACTTCGTTGATGTTCCTCATTTTTGGGAACAGATGAACTATATATATAACAGCCATTCTGTCTACATTTTAAATTTTTTTTGATACGTGCATGTATGCATGCTATTTTATTACTGTATCGTTCGTAGTTAGTGTCATCGTACAATATAACAATTATTCAAGAAGACAATACAGTATATAGAGACTGACAATTTTGAGAAGTTTTATTTGTGACTTTTAGTCCAGTTTTGCCTTATATACACCAGACTGACCTACCTAACTATAATATTTAAAAACTGCGGTTCAATGCGTAATCGCTAATGAATTAACAATAGATTTTAAGTTCGCGTTTTGCCCTTACAAAACCCGAACTTAAAATCAACTCTCCCTGACGCAAAGTACATCTTGAAAAAGGTAAATGTATACACAAGTGTTATAGATTACATTATGCAAATGGTGTATAAAAGCGCAATGTTGGTTCATGTTGGTTTTTTATGTTGACTTGCCATAGGAATTATATTCTCTCATTTAGATTAACAATTAAAAATCAGGATCCGGAATTTTTCATTAATTGTTATTACCTGCTTCTCAGTATACATAATGCAGCAGGTACAATGTTAATTCATTGTATTTTGAAACCTGCTATTGAAGCCCCCACGATTTTTGTGTTTTAATTATGATTTGTCGTAGTTTCTAATCGTTCTTGTAATTCACATTTGTGTAACAGATAAGATCATGTTATGGGTACGTAAAAGCAAAAAATAACGAAGTTCAAGTAAGTTGTTTGTTATTTTAATCAAAGCTTTCTTGACTGAGTTACAGTATTTAAATTCCTCTTCGTCCAGCATTGTAATTTGCTACACGACACAGAAGTGCTTTCTACACTTTCCAAGATGTACTGTGCTTTAAGGAACATTTTTGTCACTATGCAGCCACTATTTCTGTAGGTAGTGGATACCGCTGTTAACTACACTTAGCCTATAGTTGACTGTATCGGCAAATGGACAAAAAAAGAACCTGCATATGTTCCTAATTAAAGGGTCAGTGGTATGAGTGTTACTTTCGGGACATTTTTGTGCAGAGCTGTAGTGACTCGCGTCAATATGACTTGACTCGAGTCCGACTCTAGTTACATTTTTAGTAACTCGACTCTCAATGGGTAAATAACTAGACTCGTCTCGAGTCACTACGAACTAACGCGACTCGACTGAGTCCCCAATCAGAAGACCTTACTCGAGTGAACATTTGTGAGTCAAGCCCCCCCCCGCCCCCAAAAAAGTAAACCACTCTGCGATAAAAATATTCGCAGTGACTTACAGTGCCGGTTTATAATGTTCATGTCATGTGTTCATATCATCATGAGAAAGATGTGGTGTGACTTAACATTGTAGCAACCCAGAGGTTAAATCTAAAAAATGCCTCTAAATGACATTCTTGTTTTAATTTATCGTGTTGTGCTTAAATTTTGCTGTGCAAATTGACTTGACATTTTTGCCTCATGACTTGACTCAAGTCACCGCGTTGCAGTTATTTTATTCGAGTCAATACGTAACAAAGACTCGATTTTACTCGATTCACAAATATTAATGACTTGTTACAATAATATTCTGTTCTGTAAAACTTTGTTCTTTTTAATGCAACGTATGAGAAAATTCTATTTTGGCTGCTGTCAATAAAATAATGCACTTTTTCACCGTATGAATTTTCCATGCTTTCTTGCTCATGATAAGGGCGCCGTTGGTGTCTGTTAGAAGAGGACGATGTTTTGTAATGGAGCTTCTTTTCAAATTATGAACCCAACGTGTTTTTAATGGAAAACATTAAAAGAATAATCAATCTCTTCTCTAAGAGTGGTGACTCTGAGAAGAACCAGTGACTTTACAACACCAGTTCCTCTCTGAACTATCACTCGACGTTTCGAGACTGAGTGCTTTGACAATTCTTTGCACCGGCAAGTAATTCAGCTTCCAGGTAGCACATGTATGGTGTACTATTTACGACACACATTTCTCTCTCCCTAGCCTCCCTCCAGGCGACGCAACTACATGACGCGACGGCACGACGGCTTCCTTGCGTCGTGCCGTCGGGTCGCACCGTCGCCTTCTTGCCATTACGTTTGTACACACACGACGCGTCGCGCCGCCGCGTCCTGCTTCCTTGCCTTGTAGCATTTTTTCTCTGCCTAATCGTCGCCCCTTCCTTCGCCCGTCGTGTCGCACCGTCGTGCATCGCATCCCCTATTACGTCGCCTGAAGCACGATGCGACGCACGACACGACGCAATACGTCGTGTGCTGTCGCCCTTTGCTTCGTAGTGTTTATAGAGGTCGCCTTTAGTGTTTTCTTTCATTTCCTTCCTCCATCCAGCCCGTGCTTGCACAGTACATGCCGTACGTAGCAGGCCTTGATTTTTTTGTTTTCTTTCGTGCAACTTTCTGTTTCATTGAGAGTGAGTTGTTGAAGAAAGCATTTTTCCACGACCAATCAGCATTGTCTTCAGGAAATAAATAACATTAACGACAGCCACAACAGCGTTTTAGCTTCTCCTGCTCTAATTCTGATCTTTCTAATAATTATTTGTAAATCCATTTCAACATATAATACATCAATCATTATTACATGCTTGCAACAATGCAAAAAGGAGATCTGATAAAAAAATTATGCGCGTGGCCAAACAGAGTTGAAGAAAAGACACCATCATAATGATTAGGATCCACAGTGTTTTATTAAGAATTACGGACTAATATCATTGAAAGTGTGATGGTGATGAAAATAATGCAGGCGGAATGGAAACTACCTAAGCCTATGGTCAAACTTGCAGTCGTACAATTGTAGACAAATTGTCTGGAGGAGTGGAAGAAGTTCCCGGAGAACTATTTGGAATGGACCACAGAGAAATATTTATAAGTTTACAAATCTACCACAAATGGGAACTTCATCAACGGTCTTAAAAAGCAATTGGACGGACACTCGAACAAGGATTGGCCGGGTAAATTAAAGAGTGACTAATTCTGGGCTTACACTTATTATGTGAGAGCAGATTTTCCATTTGCTCTTTTTTCCTTTCTTCCCCAATAAAATATGACAGAAACTAATTCAACTTGATGAATGGGTAAAACACCTCTCCCCCCCAATCAACGCCTGGTGCTCGTGGCATGTATTTTGCAAGCGCGATAGACAGAAATGAAAGAAAACAAAAGAAATCATTGGCTGGGTAATTAAAGAGTGACGAATAATTCTGGACTTCCGGTTTCCACTTATTTTGAGAGAGCAGTTCCTACATATTCAGATTTTCTTTTGCTCTTTCTCATTTTGTAAAATATGAAATTAAGCATAATTGATGAATGGCTCAGATAAAACCAGGGAAAAATCAACAACAAATAGCGAATAGCATGTACTTTGCAAGCACGGGGAACGGAAATGAAAGAGAACAGTAAAGGCGCCCTCTATAAACACCATGAAGCAAAGGGCGACAGCACACGATGCGTTGCGTCGCGGGCGTCGTGTCATGCTTCAGACCACGTAATAGGCGATGCGATGCACGACACGACGTACAACGCGACGCACGACGGTGCGACACGACGGACGACGGAAGGGGCGACATTTAGGCAGAAAAAATGCCACAAGCCAAGGAAGCAAGACAGCACGACGCGACGGGCGACGGCAGGACGCGTCGTGTGTGTACAAACGTAAAAGCAAGAACGCAACGGTGCGACCCAACGGCACAACGCAAGGGAGCCGTCATGCTGTCGCGTCGTGTAGTTGCGTCGCCTGGAGGGAGGCTAGGGAGAGAGAGAAATGCGTGTCGTAAATAGTACACCATACCCACGCGCTACCAGTGTGCGTATTCAGCGAGATAGATTTTTGCAGGTTTTTACTCCTATCCCAAGGCATAACCATAAAGTGTGGCGGACACAATAGGAGGGCACTATTGGGTTGGGGTAAACTCTTTTGTTTACTCCAAGGTCAAGTTCAGTTGGCCTGTTCTTGACACGGGCTTCTTGTTCTCGCGCTCGAAACAGCGGGAACACAACCCCAAAACACCGCTTTCAGAATAGGATCACACCGCCTTCTCGTCAGGATTTTACAGGCACGCACGGAAAAAGTCGTGAGATTTTGGGTTTAAACATCCAAAAAATAGCGAGCTGGCTTACAAAGCTGGAGACAATGGGAAGTCCTGCAAAGTTAACATTAACAATTTTCCACAAAACGGTAATCAATCTAACCGTTTTTTTTTTAAATGGAAAAGAATTCAGCCCAGTCATTCAAATATTAACCCTTGAAGAACATACATGGGCGTCGCCATTTTTTCCCCACTAATTAGCTCCGAGCAATAACCGGTTGTACGTTCCCGGCGTTTGAGTGGCCGACCCACGAACAACAAATTGAGCTGTTGGTGAACATACAAGAACAAGTCGCCCGAGCTCAGCCCAAAATACCCACTTCAAATAGCTGCCTCCTATTGTGCCCACCATGCTTAAAGAGGCCAACGATTATGAAACAAGATTGAACGAACAGCTGCGCCCTGGTGTTTCCATGCTACATGTACACGCCAGGCTGTCCAAGGGGCCTTCCCCTTTCAGTCGTTGTTTGCAGTATGCTATTTAGATCTGACATGGCAGGTTTCATTATTGCCTCTTATACGCTTGACGTGATCACGAAGTTGCCAAGGAAACTAGTGCACCGTAGACCTGCAACTCATCATTGTGATTGATTGGATCATAATATTGCTCTCGCGCTGCTGTTGCTTCGGTTACTGGTGTCCGTAGAGACGGCGTTTAAATTTGCAGTACTCTCTTCACCAAAGGCTAGATGTGGTCTCCGTTAGAGTAACCTTGACATGTATGCCCATGGTGTATATAGAACAGCCTACGGCAACGTATAACGCGTAGCAATCATCATTCATGGAGAACCTCCATACATGTTCCCCAATTTCATGAAAAAAATCAACTTAAATTCTTTTTCGAAGAAAACTACGCAAGTATTCGAACATTGAAACGTGCCGTTCAACTTCATTATTTGAGCAGTACCGGTAGCGTCGTTTGTTCATATTTGTCCAAAGGCTCTAAATGTAGAAAGGCAGAAATATGTTCGTTAAAATAGTTGTTTCTGTGGCATGAACTTTCGTCTGTGATTTTCCTTGAAAACATAAAATGACAAGGACTTGAAAACTTCACTGGGAAACAAAACCTATTTGTTTTCGAGGGACACCACAACCCTGCCCATTGCTGCAAACGTTTTAATACCTTTCAATTTGAATGGTTTAATAGTTACAGGCATAAAATGGAAGAGTCTTTACAAAAAATTCTGCCTTAATTCCACAGAACTGCATTTGAGACCTTACACAAAATATCAGAATGCTGAGAAGAAAATGATTCATAATTATGGGAGTACTTTTATGTATATGATTTAGAGTATCACGCAGGACAGCATTACAAATTAAGAGAGATGGAAAATGTTACTCAGAGAAGTCACATCACATCTAAACAGGACAAGTACATTTTGAGCAGTGAACATTAAACAAAAAAGAATACACGGATGACGACCTTGAAGAGGGTAGAACTTAATTGAAGGATGGTAGAACTTAATTGAAGGATGGTAGAACTTAATTGAAGGATGGTAGAACAAGTCTTGAATAGTAAATAGCATAGCTATAACTCAAACAGGACTAAATACGAATCCACATGAAAAAAACAGGGCAGAATCGAAAATACATTTGGTTACCAGGGAAAAGCAAACCTATACGCGAACGTGACAAGTTGAATAAAATGGTTTGGGTTGAATTTAGCTTGTCTGGAAATAATGCTATACAAAAGTGCGTGAAGAACACTGCACCTTATAGCTTTTGTTTCAAGCTAACATAATGGTTGTGGAAAATCCATGCATGCTACATTGTAATCTGCCGAGTGTACTGCTCTTGGTCTTTCGGCACAGTATTTCTGCGATCTTCAACCCGATGGTCTACGGATTATTTACATACAGAAGCCATCTTGGCTAGGCTACGATTTAAATTCAGTATCCACGGACGATGCCGAAACGTAAAGCCCGTATCTCACTGGGCGGCGTCTGTTGGCGACAAATTACGAACGGCATTCCCTTTCGGGGCAGAGTTTCCAGAATGTCTCAAAACGTTCGCGGGGATTCTCAATTTCCTCGCTTGAGTCGCAAGGTCTCGCTTTCGGTGTCGCGGGATTTTTGAACATGTTCAAAAATCTATGCAAATTTTCTCTCAAAATAGTCACTGAGTCGTCGCTGGTGTCTGGAACTCGTCTCGCATTCTTCTCAATTTAATTTCCATGAGTCAGAAAGTGCGAGAAATATGAACAAACTCTGTGAGGGTTGGCGACCTATGAAACGAATCTGTGACTGGTTAAAACAAAACATGAGAATCTGTCTTTCCTGACGTTAGACAGGTGTGAGTGTAAAATATTCACAACTTTGTCGCGCAAATGTCGCGCAAGTGTCGTGTTACAGTCTCACGATACGTATGTGAACTCGTGCCACTTACACAAACGTGTCCCAAGTACCAAATGCGAGTCAAAGTGAAAATTTGTCGCTAGATTCGCGGAATTTCTCGCAATTTTGTCTCCATCTTGTCGCGAGCTGCCGCAGCCCAGTGAGAAATCCCCGCAAAAGAAAAGAATTCCCCTCAAAAGTGGTCATCATGGACGGGACATCTACACGTGGCGGCTATCTCTCGCCATACCGCTATGGAGCAGCTAATGGGTATTTTTCGATTCTGTAGATCCCAAAAAACATTTCAACAGAATACCAAAGCTTGTACGACTAAAATCAATAGAACTGGAATGGATGTCCACGAGTTCAGTCTTCAGATCAACTGAATCGATTAGAAATCATCCCCTTGGATCTTAGGGTTTGACACATTTATCTAAGAGTTAAGACAAAAGATGCACACCTTTTAAGTAAACATTGCAACCACTCAAACACAAAAGGGATTATTTGGCTGTTATTAAAAACAGGATGTGGGTATAATTTTGCCGCGCTGAGCCAAGCCAAGCTCACTGAGATTCAGTGACATTTTTAGGAAAAATAATCAACACCACCATTTCTAAGAAGTCCATCATTGTACAAATTTATTACAGGGACACTAAAGACAGAAATATTAACTTCACAGATTATATATTCGAACCTTTTTTAGGAAAAGGCACAATGAGTTATGACTGCATCGTTAAGCATCAACGTTAGTACTGAATAAAGAGGTCAGTCTGAAATGACTTTAAACCATTGAATAAATTCATTTTTTCCCCATTAATATGAGTAAACTTTACGATAAGCCATTCTTTAAGGTTAAATAATATCATATAGATTTACATGTGGGCGCAGTTGTCTTTCATGGACCACAAACCGAGGCAAACATTAGACGGAAAAAAATGACTTATTTTGATAATTGATGTGGATGACCACGAAAGGTTTGTGTGCTTCCCTGGACAAATGCGGCATTCTGCAAATTTAGGGTCTGACATATTTTTCAGTGTTACACCTGCATGTAATATGTGAAATTTGACAGGGGATACCACTGAAATCGATTTCAAACTATTCCTTATTTGATTAACATCACTTAAATACTCTTGGAAATTAATGGATATGTTCTAAACTTACAAACCCATGTCAGATGTAACGGACAGGAAAAAATCGGACCCCAAATATACAGAATGCCCCCATGTATAACAACTACATGCACAATGCATAAGGAGCACAAGGGAGTTGGCATTAATGGACAGATTACATACATGTACATAGATGCATCCTTTCAGAAGTTTGTTAAAAGATATCATTTTTGTAAAATTGAGGCAAGTTATGGTAGTGGACAGGCACATCTTGATTTTGCAAACACACCGACATTCTGAAAGACAAAATTGAGTACAATATTGCCCCAAGTGTGACTTGGGCATATGAATAGGATTTGCTTCAGCCAGTGCCTCCTATATTGTGTGACAAACGATGTTTGGTGACATGTCTTTCACAGTCAGTAGGAAAATGTTTTTACCACCACCACATTTAACATCAGAAAAATTCAGTATCACAGCAGTTACCATTGTCTCTTGAAAAATGGCATCAGGTGGCGAAATAAAATCACAGCCTCTTCATCTATTGTTTCATAAGACAAAGCATCCATTGGCCAGGTAAAGTAGTTCACTGCATCTTCTATGGCCACCTGCCATGCCTGCTGCACTGCATCACTCATCATAAACATGGTGCTCAAAAGTTAAGAGTTTGTGACACCGATGCCACGTTGGTTGTCCGCCTTTTTTAACAGTGAATGTGATGCAACTTATCCTTTGAGGTTGTCGGACATGGCCACATTTGAAGTGTCTCCCAAAGGTAATGATCCATCAAATCTCCAGGCCTAACACACTATCAAATGGTTTTCTTAATGTTTTCTTAGTGTCCAACTGGCAATCACAGACAAAGAAAGCATTGTCAGTTCAGAGGTCACAACTACAGCACTGTTACACTGTGGCTTTTTGCAGCAATAAAGGCACAGGCGATGACCATGAAGGAGAAAGCAGGATTTACCAAGGCAACCATATATTCCACAGCCTCGGGTGACTCCAACAGTTTGACCTCCTTTAGTGATCACAGTTTTCTGTAGTTTAAAGAGAATGGTGGTAAAATCAAAGCAAATGAAAAAACCTGCCTGCAAGCGATCTTAGAGTTGCATAAAGCTCAAGTGATTGAGATTTGATTTACGTGCAGCATGGGATTAAAATAAATCCATGAAGTACTTTGACTTTCATTTGGTCTCCTCTGTGCATGTATGTTTGCTGCCAGGTTAGGATATCTTCAGGAGAACTCATAGGGAAAACTAAAACACAGCATGCTGCAATGTACCTAGGGAAGTCTGTTAAATCCAACTGTATCCTGAAACCATACTTAGCAAAGGAGTTATGGGTAGCGCAGGTGCAAATACCGGTAGGGGGATTCATGAGTAATGTCAGGATGGGTTTGGGTCATTTATAACTGTAATTTGGGTAACTGTGATCTGTGGAGTTTTCTTGCTGCTATGTATGCGGTGTGTGATGTGAGCATGCACCAACGGGAAAGAATATGGCTTATTCCAAATCCAGTAAAATAGAGGATCATGCCCCCCCTGCACATGAATGCAAAGGCGCAGCGAGATGGGCCACGAAAACAGACGATGTTTATTTTCACGCAATAAGCCTGTGAGCTTTACAATGTACAATGTCGACTCTCGTTATTACAAAATCCCCGGGACAACGTAGGAACGTTCGTTGTAGGCAGAACACAGTGCAATGGCTTTGGTGCATTGTTGTAAAATGCCATGTACATGCATGCACATGTATGCATGTATGGGCATACACGTGAACGCGTGGTTGATGTTATATCAAAAAGATCTCTTGGTTATAATTAATCAAATATATTGTGATGGGTTTAGAATAATAAAATTCACTGTCATGTGAAAACATGTCTAATGTGCATGTGAGATTAATTAAATCAAATACATGTACATGTGAGCGCATCGATCCAGGGATTTTTAAAAGGCCATGGATGACGACAAAGCTAAACAGCAAGCACATGTAGGCCTGTGTGTACCTGCAAGAATGTGAAGATTTTATCAACTGAAGCCCCCATTCACGTAAGTAGTCTTCCCAACACAAATTGTGTCATGGAAAGACATGTTTATTTAATTTTCCGTCAGTCTTACGATTTTCGATACTACATGTACATGTAGTTGCATGGCACGATTGATCAATAGTCCACGTTTACTCGCCCACTGTGGCGCGGCCGCCTGTGCACGAGATGGTCGCTAATGGAGCATGATGTCATGAAGGAATATTGCAATTGGATAGCTGTGTATAGTCAAACGTACGTCACGAAAGCGCAGTCTCATTGGCGGGCACGCTAGATCTTTTTGCAGCAATATGAATAATGCAGTGTCAGGCGATTCGTTGGGCTCTTGAGATGTGAGAGTAGCCAAGCGAACTTATTTGGCCGTATTTTTACCAGAATTGGGAAGGGAATTTTTGTTCAGATGTTTGTGTAATCAATGTAAAAAAATCATTGATTTTTGAATCGTGCTTTATGCTTGTCATGACTACAGGAAACTGGCAAACGATGTCTGTGCATCGCGTTGTTAGACTGTGTGACACCTCTGGAGGGGCATGGGATAAGCCTCGTGCTGCGGCTGGAAATTTTGTGGAAACACGCTTCAAGTATGAGCAGTACATCTTGAAATGAAATACATGAACACAGACAACACATAGACATGAGATCAATTTTTGTGAAAGAACCTACAAAAAAATTCGTGACAGCAGTGTTTTTTTGGCTTGCAACTGCTGCATTCGTATATGATGTACATGTACATTTAGTGGAACGTTTGCGACCCTTTTTGGCAAGAACTGTACATGTACATTGACTGGTTGCCGCATTTCCCTCATGCCTTCTTTAGCAACGATTCAGCCCGGTGGGAACCAGTGTGATGCACTGCGCATGTGTTTTCACCACTGTGATTCACAAACGTTCATTATACAGTAATGGGTCATCAACAATGATTTTTCCAGAAACCATTCGTTGTAACAGGAATTTTGCACAATGCGATTTCGCTGTAACAGATTTTTCCCCATAGAAATGTGCACATTTTTGCTGAGACCACAGACTTGTGCTTGTTATAACCGGAATTTTGTTATAGCCGATTTTGTAATAACGAGAGTCGACTGTAGTTGCTGATGTGAATGTTATTGGTAAGGTCACATGGTCATGCAAGAACCATTGTTTGGCCCTGTGCATACAGTGTGCATACACATGGTACATGTACATGCGTATTCCACAGTTACCACACCTATACCAGCCCAAGCCTTGACATACTGCAACAGGCAGTATCATCTGGGCCAAAAGGGTCAGCTTAATAAACGTACCGAACAGCCAAAACCGTCTTCACAGCCGATTGTTTCTGCACCTTGAAAAACAGTGATGTCATGAGATTTGAAAGTGGCCTGGCTGGTTGAGTTGTAACAAGTTATACCGGTATCAGCGCCCACCAAACCTGCAACAAACACAAAAGGATTAAGCATCATACACAAGGTGGAAAGCCAGTGGGGTCAAGCCATGCCAAATTATACCAAACTAGGGGACTTCCAATGCGACGACCCATATTTGCCTGAAGAAAACCTTAAAATACCACAACATCCCAAATGACAGCAAATGATGTTCCAGCTTGATATCCTGCTTGTTATAGCCTCTAAAAAAGTTTGACCAGCAGGAGACCAAGCTAAAAAGTTTGCAACATCAATAGTTCATCTTTTTTGGTGGCATTTTCAAAGGCCCACAAACTCTTTTCTAGATGAAAGCGGAAAATAGGTGTGGTGGTAACTTTTGCCTGTATTTTTTAAATTATGCACCCTAGAAGTTACGGACCCTTGGCCCGAAATTCTAAACCTGTTGAATTTTTCTTCTTCAGATTTTGGAAAACTTGTAAAATTGACAAAAAGACTGCGAAGTGGTACTAAAGATGTTTCCCTAAATATCTAGAAACTCGATTACATGTATGCATCAAACTATTTTCCCTCAAGTAGGGGTGGGGGGGGCCTTAACATAGTAGTGGGGCAATAATAACTCAAAAATGACCCAGAATTCAGGCCACTCTTTGACCCTTTGGGTGTTTGAATGGCTACGCAATGATCCTACATGTACCGGTATGTCACCATTGATGGAAACAATTCAAAATTAGAATTATTAATTTTGTCTCAGGGTTAAAAATCAGAATCGCATGCTACATGTACTTTCTTGTTTTGTTAAAACTAATTTCAATGGATCCAACGCTCCTTGCTTTCCTCAATGGCACAGCCAGGCTCAATTTAATCTCTCTTGAGATGCCAGCCGAGTTTGAGAAAATTAAAATCATGAACAATTCATCATCTGAAATCTGAACTGTTTATCTCTCAAACCTCAGCAAGCTCCAGCCTCTGCTTTGGCCCCAGCTTGTACATTGTACATTAATGTGTTTGAAAGTTTCAGATTGGTGCATGTATGTTTCTACTCCCTGAAACAGTAACATCAAAACTCAGTGATTACATGTACATGAGTGTGTTCAGCCACAGTAACGCATATCCAAATTTACAAACAACCCCCCAAGCTTCATGAGTGCACGCAACAACCCCAAAAGCTTCAGGAGTGCATGCAACAACCCCCAAAGCTTCATGAGTGCACACAACAACCCCCAAAGCTTCATGAGTGCACGCAACAACCCCCAAAGCTTCATGAGTGCACGCAAAAACCCCGAAACTTCATGAGTCAGTGAGTACACGCAACGACCCTGAAACTTCACGAGTGCACAACAACCCCAAAGCTTCTGAGCAACATCTTTCAAAAGTATAGGGTAGGCCTTCACTGGGTCAAGGGGGCAATTTCTTTTATTAGGCAAATTAGGACTGAGTTGTTGGGACATTGCTCTGTCCCCATAATGTTTTCGGTTCCCAAAAATACATGTAGCTGAAATATCATATGTATGTCCTCACAAATATAGAGCAGGAATGGACATGTACGTGTATCTACAGTGTACATAATGTCAGAATCCAGTGAATAAAGTAACACCAAATGATTAAAGGTCAACTCATCAAGGAGCAAATTCAGTCATCCATCTCAGATATGTAACTCTAACAGGTCAGTGATCTAAATGTGGAACAGAGTTATGATGTACATGTACATGTATGAGCCAAGAATACCACTGCCCCACAGACATGCAACTGCACTCCACTGTCTACCTACAGGTGTAATGTATATGTACAGTATACGGAGTAATTGGGCAGTGCAGCTGCCATGTCAGACACCTGGAAACTGCCACACAACTGTGACAGCTTTGTTACATGACTTGGTTTACCAGAGAAGATTAAGACCTTTCATTGACCTATCAATAATCCCAAAATTCCTGTTTGATCTGAATGAAGTTATCAGGGTTAAATGGTAGCCCTGTTCCAATTGAGCGTTGTAAGCATAGATTCTGCAGAAATAAGTTTAATCTCTGTCTAGTTTTGTTGGGCTGCCATTGGTATCAAATGTATTCTTTAAAAAATCATTTATCTTTACAACTCACCACATGTGCTACATGTACATGTACCAGTATGTAACACATGTACATGTATAAAGAACCACACACATTTATGTACATGTAGCTACCGTAGCTTTTGAGTTGTTTGGGGGTGGGTCAAGGGAGGGTTTTTTGGAGAGAGGCCAAACTTTTTAAGGGGGGGGAATAGGAAATTATTTCATGTGAATTTTTATAACCTTTGTACAGGTTAGGCACAATTTTCGGGCTTTTCAAACACATTTTTAGAAACAAAATAGCTCCCCCCGAACAAATTGCCCTTTCCTCATTGTCTTCCAAAAGAAAAACTGTTCTGCTCTGTTTGTCAGAGGGTGAGTTCATGGCTCCCATCGCTCCCTCAGCTGCATCCCCCTCAGACTGGTTGTCATCCAATTTTGCCGAGGGAGCAAAAAAAAAACAGCAGGTTGATTTTGATATGCGCCTGCAGCAAGTTAAAGTTTGTTTTAATAGCAATAATATCATGAAGATGGTCATGTTTTAGCAAGTTTATTCCCTACTTTCCTGGATTTAAGCACCCAGAGATACTCAGACCACTATTAGAAGTATTACAATCCCTGAGGCACCTTTACAGGATGTACCTTTAATTCAGCATTCATTTTACAGGTTGTTTATAAATTATGATTGTGGTGGGTGATGATGATGTCATCATGTGACAAGTCACATGACATTAAAGGTGCACTCTTTAAATCCCAATATCTCCTGAAGTACCGGTATATATATCCCATTGGGTTGAAACTTTGCAGACACATGTACATTGTACATGTGAGTAGAAAGGGAAGTGTTGCAGACTAAAATTGACCTCACGTCAGGAATTTCATAAGGTGAGAAGTCTAGTACAGAGTGCACTCTTTAAAGCACTTTATTTCTTCAAGTACATGTACGTGTACATGTCTGATTGGGTTGAAACCTTTGACCCCAATGGTCATGATGAAATAATTACGCCATCAGGTTTATTTAGTGAATTAGTTGTTCACATTTACAAAAGAATGCAAAAAAGGCTTCTGTTCTGTAAACAAATAGACAGATAAGCTCCAGTTTGTGAAATACGATTGTTAATGTGGTGGGTAAAAGCATGACCAACTTTCCACTTTTGCATGGTCAGCCAGACACCCACTGGACATACATAGATGTACCCTGGTGTTGTGTAGCCTGGCATTTTTGATGCAAGTCTACCGGGTACAATGTACATTTTGGACAATGCGGCACACATACCTGTACATGTATGGGAAAATAATGGTGATTTAGGGAAAAATACAGGTACATTAAATGCTCTAGTCTGAGGAGTAACGAGATGGAAGTAAGGGGTTTGAGGAAGGAAAAAAAAGTTACAGATAGTAAAGAAAAGACGATTTTTGTACATGTCAATACATGTACACATGTCTGGATTCATGCTCTTTACAATATGTTCATTCTTGACAAGGATTTTCAAGCCTTTCAAATCTTAACCATGAGGAATCAAACAATATCTGAGATATCTTTAATTATAGCATATGATGGCCTATGCAGTGGAAGTTGTTGATTTAACTAACTTAGCCAACATGCACAAAATAGAGCTTCAGTGGACTTAAAACTTTTAGCAGGAAAGGCACACCCACACACAGCTGTAGACAAAATGTTATTACAAATACACCTCTATAGTTGTGACACATTATTTGAATTACTGATGACTTACACGCACAGGCTGCAAGCAGTGTTATCACATGGCCAAGCTTCTCAGCTGTCATCATTCCCATCACATATGGCTTTCATCAATGCAGACAAAATGCCAGAAACCTGGATAATATGACACAAAAAAAGGACACAAGTCTTCAGTAGAAGAATTTTTTTTCTAAATATCACACTCATGATTTATGATAATGATGCTGTGGGAACAATTTACATGACGAACACACTATTCCCATTCAATGTTAAGTTTCACAGACATGTACATACATGTACATGTACATAAATTGTTCATCTTGATAGACAGTGGGCATTCCCACAAGTAATCTTTGATACTAGTCCTGAAATTATCTGAAATACAATCAACCAAGGTTACAACAAATACATGTATTTGGACAATGAGTAGCCATGTATAGCTACATGTAGGCCTGGGTACGAGTAGGAGGAGAATATATCGTAGGTTCATAGGGTCAGCGAACATTACAGACAATAATTCCCACAGGCACAAGAGATGGAAGACAGCTAGTGACCACATACCGGTACATGAATGCTGGGGATGGGCAAGGGTATTTGATACATTGTACATTTGGATATTTGAGATGTGGCAGAGACAATAGCATGAGGTACGACATTTGTATTTGGCTTGGATAAAAATCTGTCGTATTTATTCCGAATTTACCCACTTCAAATAGCGCACCTGTCTGCCACGTCTCACACTGGCTAATGTAGGTCAGCTGGTTACTGAGTGCCTACATTTAATTAATCACAAAGTCTTGGGTTAACTTAAATGTACATGTAGTCTTGTGTTAACTCACACTAACTTACTAACTGTTAACTAACTTTTAATAATCCCATATTCTAATACAAATCCAAACATTTCAAAACTTCAATGTATGACCAGCTTAAAAAAAGATTAATCATTTTATTGTTGATGATGCTTTGTCCCAATTACGGCTTCAGTCTCAAGTATAATTCTAACAATGTTGTAGTTTGGCTGGCCCTACTTGGTTTACAAATTACTTCAGAAAATTCCTCAAATTTTACCAGGTTTTTGGCTTTTTTCAAACCTGATAGACAGCATAAATATGCCAAACGGGCATTTCATCCATCATATAAAGAAAAACTACATGTAGATAGCCCTGGTATGTGTGCTATATCATGGTTGAATAAAACATTTCGCCATGGTCGATGTTGATGATGCATCATAGCCGATTACATGTACCGATAGTATAAATGCCAATAAACGTACATGTACATGTATGTATGTAATGTATGTTCATGTACACTGACACACTACTGTATACCATAGGCAGTGGCGTATTTTACTAATGGGAGGGCACAAAGGGGGCACCCTGCAGCATCTTATGGGGGCGCACCAGCTTTCAGTGGTGTGGTCTTTAGGGCAAGTTTTTGTTAGCCTTGTTCCATATCCATTCATCTGGTTTTTTTTCAGTGGAGGGGGGAAGCACCTGGGGGAGCGGCATCAGGAATTTGTGGGGGTACATGCTCCCAAGACCCGCCTCCGTGGCTATGCCACTGACCAAAGGCAAATGTTTGATCAGTTTTGCCATGTAATTGCATATTAAGCCATTTTTTGGCCAGTCCAGCCACAAACTAACGTGAGTGATCATATAGTCGCCAGGTCCCTTATTTTGCCACTTACTGTGAGTGTGAAAACCAATTAGACTTGACAATAGGTAGCGAAATCTGGGACCTGGTGACTATCCGCCCTTTGCTGAAGTGCACCCTTAAAAGCAAAAGAAAGTCAGACTAGTACGAAGTTTTCCAACTGGGTTCCTGCATACGTCCCGCGTGCACGCGAAGACCACACATTCCAGAAAAAATTTACTGTGCATACTCAGCATACCCTGAGTCAAATGAGCACACAACTTGTGCACCTATGTGGTAAGTTTGTACCGGTACCAAAGGACTGTCAATTTCATTTAAAAAAATGCCCTTTTTTGTTCCTGCTCGGAACGGATACGGTCAGGCACATGACAGACGGGGCAATAATTAAGGTGTAACAACATCAATGACGAACTGGAAATTTACCAACATGCACACAAAAAAACTGCTTCACGTAATGTGAACATGTACAGTGTACCGGTATCTATTAAAAGCAAGGAACATCTTCAGCAAGGTTCCTGCTGTTCTAAACTAAAAGTAAAACCTTATCACACGGTGAAAAGGTTTGGTGAAAAGATTTAAACCATGGCAAGGACTGAGGAACATTACCTAACCAGGCAGACGTGACCACTGCCTCACACTCAGGCCTTCATGTATGTTATAGGCCTACATGTATACAACGTACATAATATGGGATCAGGTCAACTGGGACCCAAACCAACTCGGATCCATTCCAACTCAGACCCATGCCAACTCGGACCCAGGACCAACTCGGACCCACGCCAACTCGGACCCATTGAGTCATATGGTTGCACTACATCAAATACGCGCCCGTAAACCAAAATAGTGCCGACTCTTGGACCTCGCCAAGAGGTTGGCCTTCTTTTTTTCACTGGAAATTCAAGATAATTTTTTTTCGCTGGAAATTCAAATTATGGCCAAATTGATCACTTTTTGTTTAAATTTTATGAACTTTGCCTTTTCCCGAAGATACCCCCTTAATAGTAGTAAAACTATGCGCTCATATGAATGTAGCTGCCCACCTCTATCCGAAATAGGCCCGTAATGTGGGGCTTTTTGTGAAAGAAATACTCTGAACTGGAAACTATCAATCCCAAATTCGGGTTTTATATTAACAATTTTATGATCCCTCGTGATTATGGCACGTCTTATTGTAAAAAAAAAGTGGGATCACAAAATATCAATAATGAGCTCGCAAGCAGACAAACGACACTTCAAAACCGTCTCCAAGTTTAAGACAATAGGAAATATTCCACATTTTTATTTTAAAATGATTTGATTTGTGTTGTTCAAAATTACCAACCTATTTGCGTTATTTGGACAGTCAGTTTAGGCCTGTATGGATAAATTCCTCTATCTGCCTAAATTTTGAAGGTATTCGGGGGGGGGGGGATTGGGGCATGGTGGAGGTGTAAGACTTGCCAGGCCAAAAAAATTTGAAAAGTGAGGTGGGAGATAACACCATGAGACACTGTAAAAGGTCAGTGTTCGTGATATTGATGTATATCTGCAGTATGTGTTGTACGCATGCAGCATCTCTTATGTACATCAAAAGGCCTATCTGTAGCTTTTTATTGCAACAAAGACTTTGGGGGCTGTTTGGTAAAGGTTCATTCGATTTCTTCTATTGATCTGGAGTGCCAAAAAAACTTCGAAGAAAGGGCGTCAATGATTTGGTTCTGTCAATCACACTCCAAAAGCTGCTCCCATTGGTTGTCCCAAGCTCCCACTCCCCGATCATAGGGTTTCAAGAATGGAAGGTGACAAAATCAGTCTTTGTGGTCAATCACGCCGTTACCTCGGAAGCTACTAGCCGATTAAGATTCCAGATTACAAACGGCAAATAAAGGAAAAAGGAAATGTGCCTCCATAAAAATACGCCGCTTGTCGGTTACTTTTTCACTCGTTTCAAGACATCACTGATATCAAATCTAGTCCTGTACAGTTTTTCAGCCACCATGCCTGTTCAAACTTTAAAACTGAGAAATTCTGGAAAGCCTGTGCCGCTGTTTCCCCGCATTACGTTTATTCAAGAGGACGTCACATCTCGGCAGCATGCAGCGCAAAAGTGTCATTTACCAAATGCTAAAATGTAAAAGTGGACAAAATCAATTTTTCAACAAGTTAATCACGCTCCTGGGGTTGGGGCCGAGTTGGCTCAGGGTGGGTCCGAGTTGGTCGTAGGTCCGAGTTAGTTTTGGGTCCGAGTTGGCACGGGTCCGAGTTGGTTGTGGGTCCAAGTTGGCATGGGTTTGAGTTGGCATGGGTCCGAGTTGGTTTGGGTCCGAGTTGACTCAAACCATGGAGAAATAAAACACACCCATTTGCCTACACATGACATGCACGAACAAGACCCTGAGCAACAGACATGACACGACGGAATCCTGGCCCACTAACACGAACAATCATCATGACTGTAAACCCAACAGAAACATGAAATCTACTCACCTTCAACACCATTGGTGATGTGATGGCTAAAAACGATATAGGCCTAAAACCAGAGACAAATCATGCAAATTATGTGTACGATCAGATCCAAGATGATGGACGTGGTCCGGCGGGTTACAGTGACAGTGTACACGTGTATCAATACATTGTGATCGGCCCTATGTACAGCATACGGTGATATTAACAGGAAGTCAACGACTTTATGCCATAGACAATAAATGACATGGTTTTCACGTTCAATATATGGTCAATATATGAGCGCAAAGCCAGACAATAACTGTTATTACATGTATATGCACATAGTATCAGCGCTCAGCTGACGAAGCGCAACCAGGCAATGATATGGCGCCCACATGTACGAGCGCGCATACACATACCAATACGTGTAAAAAACAGCATGCACTGATACAAGTTAGTTCAAGGCCGTTTGCCTATGGAAGCCGGATAGTGCCAAGGTTAATATTTTTGCGTAGGGAGTTTAATACTTTTTTGACAAATTACGTGGCGGCCGCCAGATAATTTGTCAAAAAAATAATACACCCCCTACGCAAAAAATATTAACCCTGGCACTATCCGGCTTCCGTACTACCCGGCTTCCATATTTGCGCGACATCGACTAGCCGCCAATCGCGCTTTTCTTTGTGCAGGGGGAATTTGCATAATTTCCAAGCTCAAACTCAGCCCCGTGAGGCTTTAACGTCATGGTCAGACAATTCCTCGATATTACTGTGGATATAGATCCGCCACATAATTACATGGTTTAATTCAATGAACACCATGTGTAGATTCACGGATGGATATAAAAAAAACAAGACTCTCTCAACGACAATGTCATTACTAACAGTGGCCTAAGGCAAACTACGCAGCGCTACACTATCTCTGCTACATACATTGTACATATGTCCATGTACATGCATGTCCCGACCTAGTGCCAGCTACATGTATTTTACTAGGGAGATGTAAATATTTTGACAAATCATTGGCTTTCTTTAATTCATATCACTGCACGTAATAATTCAATGTTCAAGGATTTATTGACCATTGGGCCCTCTTCATTGACAGCAGAATAGAGATTTTGTGCCTTTTTCCAGTTTTGAAAATATGACTGAAATGTGACAAAGCAATGTGAACGGAAGTTGTGACATACTCTGTTCAATTTAGCTTTAAATCAATAGATCAATTTGATTTATTCAAACAAGAGACTTCTTAGAAAAGTCAAACCCTTTGTTTCTGTAATGATGCTAGTTAATGAAAGGGTTTTGAAACAAAAGGCCAGAAATTAAATCACAACATCAAATTGAGTAGCTCTACCATGTAATTCATTATAAACCTTACATCTGTACCAGTTTAAACTCAGAGACAATTTCCGGTCTGTTAAAATTCCATTAAATTATACACAGCTTTGTACAACTGGTATTCACATTTCGCAAATTCTATCCCTCAAAGCACACAAATTATCCTAAATCATGAAAAACAAATTCGGAAGAAGACTGACATGACTTAATCAGTTTGTGATGAAAACGGTGCCGTGTATAGTTAGATTTAGTAATGACCAAGTTCAATGGTAAGTTCTTTGTCCTCATGAAGACAGCAAGAGTTTGACGGATGGACAACCTGGAAACACTGTTATAGTGACAATATTTTTCTGCTTCAGACTTAAAACTCTGGGAATATTCAACAATTACAAGTTTGCACTTCTTATAAACCGATTTTCAGCTGTTATGCACTGCAGGGCATTGTCTAATTGTGCAGTCAGAAGGCACACTCGTGACCCATGTTCATATACAACCAAACCTTCCCGCAGGAAAGGCTGTTAAACAAGGACAGTTTATATACATGTAAAGTGCACTTAAGAATTCTTAAAGTACAGGTTCTTGATGATCTCACACTGCTGGTGAAAATACAAAATGATTCTTTGAAAGTCACACGTAACGGTACATTTTTCAATGTAGCTTTAACAAAATGAAAATGTGCAAAACGAATAAAACAAATGTTAAATGGTTGTAAAAACTATTGAAACAGAAAGCCATGGTCAAATGAGCACGCAGGCTGAATCAGGATAAACTAATTAAAAAGACAGGAAAAATGCAAAAACAAATTAATACATGTAGGTACTTGTCGGTCACCGGAATTAAGCAAAATTCAGACAACTGCAAGTAAATTACATGTACATTTAGTACATTGTACATTAATGCTTTCAAGGCTTTAAATTATTTTCATTTCTTTTAACTACATGTAAATAAGGAGTATTCAACCAATATTCTGTGAATTTCCCTAGACTTGTGAGCAAATTTGCAGAATGCTGCATAATTATTTGTTCCATCTGTGATTATTGTTTATCACTGACCTGAATTTGTGGGTATTGACAAAAGTCCACACACGTCCAAACATGTACCTGTAATCAAACCCCTCTTTTCCTACCTGTCAACCTATGTGGGCAGGTTTCATTAATAAAAAAATTTTTTTTAAATTTCTCCCTAAAAATACTTGGAAAGCAAATTTTTTTGCTGCTCCTCAAAAGCAGAGCCCCAGAAAAAAAGCAAAATCCACAACCGAGTAGAAAATAAAACATCAACCTAATGATTTAACATTAATTACACAGTTGAATTATGTACATCAACCCTAAAAATACAATTGTACAATTTACATAATTGACAAATTTTTAATGTAACAGCACCCATGGGTACAAGTCTATTATTATATTCATTAAGCAAGGTATACGCAATATGCTATTCTTGGGTGCCACACCTGAAAACAAATTAGACTGAAACTACCGTGAATGTTTCAGCCTTGGAGCCTAACTTGGTGCTTTACATCTTTTTTGTTGGTTACAATAAAAAGAACTTTGTTTATGGAAAAATTCTTTTTACTGCCTTATCCTCTAAAAGCCTTTTATGTACATGCGGGTTATTTTCGGCCTGTTTTCATTCAAAAATGTGCAATTGGAATTTTAAAGTTCAGTTATGGTATCCCCACTGTGCATTCTTCATCAAGTGTTAATTTACAATGTAGAGCAGCATGTCCTGAAATCATGTTGGCATGCTGTGAGGCAGCTGAAGAAGGACGCTGAAGTACATGTACATTTACTTATCTGTGTGCATAAATGGTGTGGGGTGTGATCAATTTGTAACTGAATGTGCACAAAACCTGTAACGTCCTCAACTAGGCACATCTGAGCATCAGTATCTAAAATGCTGCTCAGATATTCCTAAAGCATGGTAAGGCTATGGCACTTTCTGCACTCTAATAGGCTACGTTATACATGTACATGCCTACTGATTGGCAGAGTGTTATGTTAGCATAATGTCAGATTCTGCTATGCATGTATTTGCTGACACATCATCAACGGCAGTTTGGTCCTCGTTTGGGTTGATGTCAAGAGCAGCTGTCAACTTCTCTTCCTCCAAGTCAGCCAACCCTTCACTACCAACATAGGTCTGCTGAATCTCTCCATCTGCTGAATTTGTGATGCGGTCTTCCAACTGTGAGAAATTACCCAACTCCTGTAGTCCCCCAACTTCAACTGAAGTGTCCTCCTGCTCCATACCTTCTTCATTTGACTTTTGCACCATTCCCTTTTCCTTGCTCCCATCCTCCTGTGGGTGACTTTCCAATTTCTTGTCCTTTTTCTGCTTCTTCAGTTTCTTCAGCTTTTTCCTGCCTCCTTGTTTCTTCTGTAGACCTGAATGGTCTTTCAGGTGTGACTTCTGGTGTCGTCGCATGTCCACTGGCGAGGCATAAGCCTTGGAGCAGACCTTGCAGACATGCCTCTTGTCCTTAGAGTGCATGCGGAGGAGGTGGCGGCGCAGGGCACTGTCCCGACGGAAAGCACTATTGCAGACATTACAGGTGAAGGGTCGCTCACCAGTGTGGATGAGCATGTGGTCCTTGAGGTGGGTGAGGAGTTTGAAGACTTTGTGGCAGATGCCACACTGGAATGGCCGTTCGTTGGTGTGGGTGCGCATGTGAACTTTGATCTCGCTGCGGCTGCGGAAAGGCTTGCTACAGATGTCACACTTGTACTTGCAGGGACGCCGCTTTTTGGTTCTGCAGATACCAGTAAGAAAATTAAACCGTGAATTGATGCTACATGAATGAATGACTGTTGCAATTGGATTTATCCAAATTGAAATAACTCTCCACTTAAGAACTTTTTAAAATGAAACTGCAACTATTTCTCTGTTTTCAAACCTCTGGAGTCAAACTCACACACCAATAGATGGACAACATGGATAACAAGATGGATAACATGAACACATGGTTAAACTTCAAATTTTATGACAGTAAAATTAGGACTATTACAATAATAGAAGTTTCATTTTAGAGTTTCATCTAAATTTGTTACTCAAAAAAGATTACAACAAGTGCATGTATCTGAATGTATTATTCTAGCTCTACGTGTAGAAATACAATGTAGGTACATGTACATGTGAATAAACCACCAAATAGTGCAACCATCAAGCCAGATTAAAGAAAAAAACTGCTGTTTGTTCTCCTGAATTGATCTGAAGACCATTTTTAGTGGTAAGTACCTAATAGTAATCATTAAAAAAGGGGTGTCAAAAAAATAAAAATGAAACCACACCACACACAAGAAGAAACCACGTTTGGTTTTTACTTCTTGACATTTGGCGGTGATTATTTACTTTCCAAGGATTTTTGGCAATCTTGATTTCTTGTCACCACAGCTTGGAGGCTATCACTGCTCAATCTCAAAAACTTACTCTTACCCGGTACTTTTACTGTTTCCTCCTTCAGCACCCGTTTCTCCCGAGTTACTTCTGCTTGGCTTTTTCTTAGTTTTGGAATTGTCTCTGTTACACGAGGTCATCTGATGCCTCTTCAAATCTGACTCCAGTCGATAGTTCTTAGGACAGTTTGGGCAAGCATAGGCCTTGTGAGTCGCATGCATTCGAATCATGTGCCTTTTGAGCGCACTCGTCTGCCGAAAGCCCTTGTTGCAGACATCACAAACATTGGGTCGAAGGTCATCATGGATCTTCTTGTGATCATTCAGGTGGCTGACCTGCCGGAAGACTTTGTTGCAGACTGTACAGACGTAAGGCTTTTCTTCAGTATGGACCATGACATGCCGCTGCAGGTGGCCCTTCTGGATAAAGCCCTTGTTGCAGTATGGACACTTGAAGGGCCGGTCAGCGAGATGGACCTTAGAGTGAAACATCAGGTGGCCTTTATTCTTGTATGTTTTGCCACAGGTGCTACAGCTAAAAGGTCTGGGCTCTGTCGAGGCTGGTTTGGGTTTGTTGAATTCAACAGGAAGGCTTCTGTTTGTATCAGTGTGCACAATCGCCTTGTCCACTTCTTTATTTTCCTTGTTCTCCAGTGATGTCAACGGTGCATCACTGGTAGCAAAGTTTTCGTCCTCCTGGATGTGACCACAGATTTTGGATGTATTTGTCTGAAGGTTCAGAACAGCAAAGTAAGTGATGTTGACATGAGTCTTTTCATGCCGACGCAGGTCAGCCTCCCCACTGTAGCCCCGGTTGCAGATGGTACACACATAGTGACGTTCCTTGACATGCTTCCGACTTATATGTCGGAAGACGGCACTCTTCTGCCGGAAGCCCATGCCACAGACCTCACAGCAATAGGGCTTTTCATTTGTATGAATGCGCTTGTGACAGGTCAGGTGGCTGCTCTGCCGGAAGCTCTTGTTGCACATGTCACAGGCAAAGGGCTTGTCCTGCGTGTGGATCCGCACATGTCGCTTGAGGTGGCCCAGTTGCAGGAAGCTCTGATTGCAGATCTCACAGGTGTACGGCCGGATGTTGCTGTGCACCTTCTGATGATACTTGAGGTGGCTCATGCAGGTGTAGGTCTTGCCACACTCACAGACAAAGGGCCTCAGACGGTCAGTGCTGATCACAGCCGGTTCAGGCACCTGTGGCTTGGTAGCAATCTGCTCTGCCATGTGCTGTATAGTGTCCTCAGCGCTCTCAAACAATTGGCCCAGGACAGCGATGACGTCATCCTCGCGGCTGGTCAGGGTGTTCCCGCTACTATCCACAATGTTTGTCACATTTCCATGCTTGACAATGGAGATCTCAATCCCTGTGTCTGCCCCAGAGTGCGTATTGTTCGTACAGTCTTGGGCACTGACAACAATTGTCTGACTTGTTCCTTCCTCCATGTTTCCACTTGGCCCAGTATCAAAAACTCTGTAACAAAAACATTTTGGAATAAAAGGTTAAACTGCTAACAAACAAAATTTACAGCCATAATGTACTATGCGTACATGTTGGACTTGGACAGCTGTGTTCAGTGCGGACCTGGGTCCAATTTTGTGCTGCTGCTTACCATTAACCAAATTTCTTTGCCAACCATAGCAAAATTTGCTCAATAGTACGTGTAAGTGCATTTCAAGTCAAATATTTCAAGGTTGCAGTGCTTGGCACAAACATGCATGAGCGCTCAAGCACACAGAAATTTCTACTGTTACATCACTAAGTTCAGCAAATGTTTCCTCCAAGGTTAGCATGCATTTTGCTGTGTTTACTGCTTGAGGTCTCCACAAAGTACACAGAGCCTCTAGTGTGAAGTTGTGTGCTTAGCAACACCATGAAATTGGGTCCTTATTCCATTTCACATTTATGTGAACAAGAAGGGTTAAAAGACTGGTAACATTGTTACTAACAATGACTGCCAACAGTAAAATGTAGTTGAATTTTGTTCTTCTTTCATTAACACAAGGTGTTCCCCATTTGTTTCGTACTGTACGTCTACATGAATCTTGGGAAGATGGAAAAAGTCCCTCCAACTCAGAAGAATTAGGGAGAAGTACATGTAAATAGGAAGTCGGCCCTGCCATCTTATAGCTATGTACATGCGTGCAAGACTCAAACCAATGGAAATTCTTGTTTAGCTCAAATATTACAGTCCTTATTCCTATTCCTCTTTAACATTAGTCTTTAACTGATTTGAAATGTATTTTGGTTGTGCTGACAGTGTGTTGACGTTACTTTCATGTTTTGACCATGTTGACAGCCTGACAGTGATTAGTTTTCATGGTATTAAGAGAAAGACCCCTTCCCTTGTATTTTTTATAAGCACGACCATAGGCCCAATTAAGCATAGATAGAGACATGCATAAAAAAAAATCATGAGTGAGGTGCTCTTCATTTGGAAACTAATTTTCTTAATAGGAATTTGTGATAAAAATGTTTTTTTCTGCATGCTGTAGTTCCTCTCTTTAATTTCCAATTTCGGTTTTTTTTTTTTTCAAGTGAAGCCAGCATTAAATTATTTGAAATAAAGCGCAAATAAGAAGAAAGATTTTACATAAATATGAATTGAGGTTTTCAGTCAAAATCCACGCTCATTTTCGGGTACAAAATATTCAGTTTGCTCAGCCATGGTGGCTCAGCCATTATCAGCACTACACGTGTACAACTACTGAAATAGGCCTAATATTAGGCTGCAAAAAACCCAAAACATCCACGCTTCAAATCAGTTTGCTTTGCACAGTCCAATGGGATCAACACTTAGCTTAGGCCCCCCCCCATATAAAAATATTTCTATGACATGCTCTCGAAGGTCACTTCAACAATAAAACAAAAGAATTTCTTTGAACCCTTATATGCCTAACCTACATGTAGCAAGAAGTAGCATAATTAGCATGCGATGCCTAGCATACATGCAGGATGTACTTATACTTTACACTAGCATGACTAGCGTTGCAATGCACTGCATAGGCCATGGTAAGTTTGCCGCTGTCCGTGAATTGGGCATTTTTAACGCTGTTTTATCCACTTATTCTCATATGAAACTGATAACATAAAAAGTTAGTTCGGTATATCCCACCTTTTCACATCTAGCCACAACGATGGTGCGAAACTGCACGCCTGTTTGCCAAAATGGTTATTATTATGCAGAATTTTGAAGCAAAACTCCAAACTTCAACGGGCGTACTCAGAGCGCTGGCGGTCTTTCTTCATCAATTTCGCAGGTTCCTTTTGCTTTTTCGAACAGCCCGTCCACTATTTAGAGTATACACGGGTACCAGTGAAAGGAAGCATTCGAAATGCACTATGGGATCGATCATGTCGCACACCCGCACGTCACAGACGCATATGCATACTGTATGTACGTACATGTACATGTACAGTATGTACACTATTTAATTCTAATATCACCTCGGAGGCCGGTTTAAATGATGGATCAAAGCAAAGAAAATATATCCGAAATATAGAAACCAATTCGAAAAATTTAATATGCTTTCTTTTTTTCTGAAGAAGGATAGTCTGTTGCCACTGACTGCGGCGGTGTTTTTTGCGCAATGACTTACGGTAGGCCCACGGAGAAATCAAGCATCTGCTGAAAAAGGTCGCGGGACACAGAAAAGAAAAACTAACCACCAGAAAGAGGACGAGCAGACGGGATTGTTGATTGAACCTTTCTAATTTCTGTTTCCCCGGCGTCTGGGGTCATTTTTTTTTTGGAAGAAAAAAAATGGGGGAACTTCAGGCCCTCTTCCAGTTATTAAAGGACAGTATAGTCAAAAAGCCCCTCCGAGAGACACGGTGTACCATGGAGGTCTACATTCCTCTGATCTTTGGCTATAATCGTTATTGTTTTGACAACTTCCAAAGACAAAACTGTTCATTTTCTCCTCCAATTAATACAAAAACACTAAAAAGAGAACAGGGTGCCCCTTTTGGTCTGTTACTATAGGCGCCGCCATCTTGTCTTTTTAATATCACCTCGAGGGCCGGTTTCGCAGTAAAAATGGATCAAAGCGAAGAAAATCTATCCAAAATAGGAAAACCAATTCCAAAAAATCGAATAAACTGTCTTGATTTTCTGAGGAAGGATAATACAGTTTGTCCGTTGCCACTGGACGCGGAAGTGTTTTGTGCGCAATGACAATCTTATTCAGTAAACAAACGGAGAAATCAAACATCTTCTGCAAAACTGCGGGACACAGAGAAGAACTAAAAGAAAGAGGACGAGCAGACGGAATTGTTGATTGGGCCTTTCTTAATTTTCATTTCCCCAGCGTCCAGGGGGAGCTTTTTTGGAAGAAAAAATGGGGGGATTTGCGGCCCTCTTCCAGTTATTATAGGACAGATTAGTCAATAAGCCCCTCCAAAGAAACACACTACTCTGATCTTTAGCTATAATCGTTACTGTTTTGAAAACCTCCAAGGACAAAACTGCTCATCTTCTCCTCCGGTAAATAAAAAAGCACTAAAAAGAGAACTGGGCGCCCCTTTTAAGTTGGTCTGTTGCCATAGGCGCTGCCATCTTGTCTTTATGGGTTGCACTACACTAAATACATGCCCATAGAAAAACAGTGCAAAATCGGACCGAAATAGCGCCGCCTGTTGACTCTCATGGAAAGGATGGCCTCCGTTTTTCTCACTAGAAATTCAAGATTATGGCCAGAAGATCACTTTTCGTTTCAATCTCACGGGGGGTAGCCCCGAAAAAATTTTTATACGCCATTGAGCGAAGATACCCCCCAAATAGCAGTAAAACTAAGCGCTCATTTCTGAATNGTAGCTGCCCGCCTCTATCCAAAATAGGTCAGCAATTTGGGGCTTTTTGTGAAAGAAATACCCCGAACTGGAAACTGTCAGTCCTAAATTTGGGATTTCCGTGTGCCAAGACCGGGCCCGGTGCAGCCAGCGGTGTGTGGGTGGGTGTGCGTGTGTGTTGGGAGGATTCAAAAGCGAATGCGGCTTCGGGCTCAGTCAAAACATGGTAGGGAGTAAAAAAAAAAAAATAAAAAAATAAAAAGACACCCTACTCACGGTCCCGAAATCCTTGCTGTTATTTCCAAGTGTTGGTTTCTTAGGGTTTGGTGCTCCTATTTGATAAATAAACATACCAATCACTTCTCTTTTCTACTCACTTGTGAAGCGTTCGGGGGGGGGGCAATCGCCCCCTTTCCCCTGCCCACTGGATACGTCACTGAGTGCGGAGCACTAATTCAAGGCAGTATGCCCGTAACAAAGTATAAGCCGCTATAACATGCAAGCCGACGTCGCTGGGGTTTCCATATAATATTTCCATTTCTTTATAATTGTTTTGGTGGATTAGCCAATAATAGTTTTGTAATTATTCACTGTCCTCGGATGGCTATCCCTCAACATCAGAGAGTTGATTGAGACCCTATTTTACACAATCTCGCCATTTGGGGGAAAGCAATTATTAAACAATTATTCATTTTAACGATTTACTTATCCGAAATAACGATTTACTAATACAGCCTCAGAGTAAAAGGTCACGCAGTGAGCTTCCGGAACCCTCGCCTGGTCCTCCTGTGGGGATTTTACATTGGGCCGTCCAGTATCACGTTCGATAGTTTTGGTAGAATACATCCTAACTGAAACGACCCCATGAAACACTCATGCTGGAATGTTACCATCGTCTTCCTCAAGTAGTATCTATCAAATGTCACATGGAGATGGGTAAAAAAAACCTGAATTTTCTTAAAGACCTTTCACGTCTGGCGATATCGTACCTAGGTCTCCCTGTTCAAGGACCGTTTGTTTCCACTGCCAGTGCTAACGTGAAAACGAGATTTTACAACGTTGGAAAGATTTTCTTACTTACAGTCAATGGGTTCAGGATTCCGTTGGGTTAACATCGCGCATGCAGTTGTTGTCAGCAAAGGTTAGATAAAATAGAATATTTCGTAATTGAGGTAGAATATTGCATCTTTGTATTTATTACCTTATAAATAAAAAAATAAGACATTTCTATCTGTTTTTATTTCGGCTTTTACCCACAGACTACCATAAAAATACGAACCGTAAATATTCATCTGCGAACGGGACAGTCGCATTGCACTGTTTATCCTGTATTTATATTTTAGAATTTCAGAAGTGAAGGTGATTTTTTGGAGGAATATACTCTTTTCGGTCAGATGATTTTTCAGTTTCTTTAAATAGATGTACTTAGCAAATGTTTTCCAAAGCCCCTTTTCCGAGATGGTTTTTGTAAGATGTGACTGAACGAAAAAAATATTACAAATTCTTAAATCTTTACACGTTATTATTCCCTTCCAAGGGTTGCAGAAGCGCGCCACCAGGGGTCGAATTTCAGGCTCTATTAGTAAAACAACGAGAGCCTCCAAATGGCGCTGTTTTGCGTTGATTCCGCTGCACTACACCAAACACGCGCCCATATAGGAAACAGTGCAAAATCAGATTGAAATAGCGCCGCCTGTCGACGTTCGGAAAGAGGTTGGCCTCCTTTTTCTTCACTGGAATTTCAACATAATGGGCAAAGGATCCCTTTTCGTTTCTATTTTATGGCGGTTAGCCACGTGTTTTTTTCAATCGGCTTTCTCTGGACATGCCCCCAAAATAGTAGTAAAAGTAGTAAAACTATGCGCTCAGTTCTGAATGAAGCCATCCGCCTCTATCCAAGAAAGGCCCGCAATTTGGGACTTCCGTAAAAGAAATACCCCGAACTAAAACACTAACAGTCGCAAATTCGGGATTTACAGAAACATTTCTGCGATCCCTCCCCATTATGCCATGTTTTATTGTAAAAACCCTGTGGGATCACAAAATTTAATGAGCTGACGCGCAGAAATACCATCTGGTGGAATGCACCTTTCGAAGTGTTTAAAACATGTTATTTGTGGGCGAGGCTAATAAAAAGCTAACCGGCATAACTGAACAATCTTCCCAGGTTTTCAGATGTCAATTTCTCCAAGTAACCTACCAAGGTTTGTGTCACTACAATATCTCTTCTTTTATTTATTTTTTTCTCGATGGAGGTAAATGTTCCTTTCACTTTAACCTTTATATCAAACATGATCAGGGTACAGGACGTGCGATTTTATCATTTTTACTTATGTGGCACTGGCTTTTTCTGTTTTAATGTGATTTAATTTCCCCATTTTGAAAATGGCCACTCCCCTTATTTTGTAACTCATGTACTCTTCAAACGAAAATGCACCGCTGGATACTAAAGAAACATATATTGAAGGGTTAACACATCAGAAAAACTTTTAACAACTTTATTAGCAACTTTATTGCAAATAGAGACAAAATTTTAAAAAAAAATATACCTATTTTATACTTGGACCAGCTGTTACCCTAAAAGGATGTATAAACAATAAAAAATATAACGTTTCAGGAGATTTCATTTGTACTACTATTGTTTAAACAATATGCAATTTCTCAAGGCACAGGGATGGAAGAAGTCCCCCAAGTCAACTTGTAGGTAAAAGACTCACAGAGTGGCAAGGATGTTTTCAGGAAACATTACTCAGAAGTAAACCTAGATCGATACCAAAAAACTAATCATGAATCAATTTAATTAAAATGTTATCTAAGTAAAGGAAGACAATTTACTTTGTGTTCCCCGACCGATGTATATCGAAAGTTTGTCTACAGTAATAATGAAATAGCAGTATAAAACTCATGAAGACACCAGAAAACACGAGTTTAGCTTTTACTTATTCAAAGTGACATACTTTGTAATGGCAACTCACATGTAAACAAATCAACAGTTCAGCCCAACAAGAATCCATGAAAAAATTCACTCATCCTTTTCTCTTGAAATGACACAGCTTTCCCACACTGGCACTTATGGCTCTCAATTAGAGGCTGATTTCTTCAAACTCTCTCACTGAGACAAATCTATAATATCACATATTTTTGGACTGAAATTAACTCTGTGTTACCATATTTACAAAATGCTGGAAAACATTAGTCCTGGTCAACAAAGTAAAGAAAAAGGAATTCCAAGCACAGCAAAATTCACGTGTATGAAATGTTTACAAGTAGGCCCATTTACATGATACATGTGTCCAGTATACAAACCAGGCTGAACTTCAGTTTCTAACTGTACTCAAACATTTAATAGCAATTCCCAGTAAGTTCCACAAGACTGAAATTCGTATTCATTTATTAAAATGTTCTGTGACATCAGCATAAATTTGCATATATGAATAAATGTTCTATTAAGACCCTGCACCGTACTTTTGGGTTTTGCTTTCTAGTTGTAAAACAAATTATACAGAAAAACTCATTAGGTGCTTATAAATGATTACAAAGATGTGCAAAGAAATTGACTGGAGGGGAATTTACTTGATGAAATTGGTCCAAGAATGTGTAATTTCGTATTTCAAATGGTAAGGTTGTTTAATCAATTGTAAAATTGTGCAGGGAGTTTGAAAAAAAAACAACTTCAGTCGAACGTGTGCGTTTTCAGTCAATGTAATAAGGTTGGAATTTTTTACTTCTGCACCACTTCAGAGTGCTATTTGTTCGTTGGTGGAAAATAAAAGAGGTTTGAACAACACAATAGAACGCTCCGCAGCCCAGTATCCTCGTTCTTTCCCTTACAAAAATCTCCCATGGCGATCCCATGGCATCCCCATGGGGCTCCCATGGGCTCTCATGGGAAACAATGGGGCTGTCATGGTGGTTTATATACACACCATGATGCCCCATGGTATCACCATGGGAAAAATCTGAAAACACCATGACCAGTCATGGTGCCTTCATGGGTCACTGTTCTGCCACCATGGGATCACCATGATTTATGAGGAAACACCATGGGAGTACCATGTGGATTGTTCCAACCACCATGGTGACATTCTGAACACTATAAAAACACCATGGGGACACCATGGAAATCTTTTCAAGCACCATGGTGACATTTAAGCACCATAAAAACACCATGAGGACACCATGGAAATCTTTGCAACCACCATGGTGACATTCGCACTCCATAAAAATACCATGGGGATACCATGGGAATATTTGCAAACACCATGGTGGCAACTTTTTTCACCATGGTGTTTTAAGATACACCACTGCACCCCAATGGGAATCCTATGAAGAATTTCGTGACTGCCATCCAAGATGATATTTCAATGTGGAAGTTTTAAAATTTATGCTATCGAAACATTGGTCTGTGAGTCCAACATGGCGGCATGCATCCATTTTTGCGGCATGAGAAATGTTGACTGAAAGCCTTCCGTTGTACATGTATAGGCCTATAGCTAGGCCGTCAGCCAGCTTATGTTTTGAAGGCAGCAATGTAAAACTTTGAGACGCTGGTGGCAGCAAACTCAAAATTACGTGCGCATCCTTGAACTAGCAAAACAGAATGGTGTTTTTGCCGCCACCACGCGCCTAAAAGTCTCCCATTGAAAAACATTAAGGGAGTTAAAGAGTGAGGTTTGAAGTTAAGTACAGTACACCTACATGAAATAAAGCAATCCAGGGAAAACCTTACATGTATGTCACATCAATTTTATTCAACCCTAAAAATTCTGCCACTGTTGCTGATGCTAAATTGACATGGATATAGATATACAAGTTTAATAATCTTCCAAATAAGATCATAACAAAATAATACACTGAATTTATTGCAGGAACCCATGTATTCAAATAGTTCTCCTTATTGCACTCCGACGGAATTATTAACCTCCAACTTGACACCTTTCCTGGCATGGAATTTGAATATACTTTCCAAGATGAGTTTCAACTTTCACTTGCACAAAACTTGACCTTTACTTGCACACAGCTTGACTCAGTCACTTTCTATTGTATTTGGAAAGGTAATAATAATGGAATGAGGGAATAAATGCCTTTTCTCAATCAAAATACATTTGTTCCTCACAAACTCAGGTTGGCACACGTTAATTATATTGCTGATGTTTGTTACAACCCTAATGTGAGGGGCACAGGCAGCAGTCTGTCGATCATACAAGATTTTCTTCTGCCTGTTCACATTGATGGGATAATATAATATATAGCAATTATTCTCTGCAACACATATATCATAAACAACACCAAATGACCCATTACACAGTAAGACCGTGGAGGAATTTCTGCGTGAAACTCTATCATATCCCTTAGAATGGATCAATTTCTTTCCAACAATCATACGGCTGTAAAATTGCAGCAAATTTGGTACTGGCCCATCCAGAATTGTCTCCAAAATCAATCGTTCTTCAAGAGTAACATCACGCAATTTTGGGCAACCAAGTAATGTTACCTCATGGCCAAAACTAATAGCATGCCTTGTTGACAGTAATCCATTCAATAACAAGTTGCAATATCTTTGCACTGGTGGTGATTTGTTATTTACATATTTAGACATCAGTTTTGGCATGTGTTGCCACAAAGTGAAATTGTTAATAATCTGCTGTGAAATTCCTTGCGTACCATGGAACAACTTCAGCAAGGTCCCATTATAGGATTCAAACAAAAAAGTTGAGCATGCCCATAAAGGTCCAATGTTACGTACAGTTGGAACAAGGTGCAGGAGCTGGTGAACATTGCATGTATTGTGACTCTTCCCGTACAACACTTCTGTCATCAAAACAAACTTGTGCAACATAATGTCTGCATTATACAAGTCTGAAGGTGATATTGATTCAGATAGAAGCAGGGACAGACCATGCACTAATAAAAGCCAGTGCTCAAGATAAGGGGTTTTCATCACCCCAAGTAAACATGGAATGGAGTAAAACAGCAACCAGGATCTCCATTCTGATCCTTTCCAGAAGTGTCGGCTGGTTATGGATCTTGGTGCTCGGCTCAAATTATTTGGCGGCTTGATGCTTGTCAATTTCTCATCTATTTTAGATGTTTCATTACCTACATAGTATTCTGCATCATGATTTTTGGAATCAAGCCACAAACTTCCAAAATACCTTGTTACCCCCAGAAGACTATTGTGGAGGTAATCCACGGGAAATCCATTGATTATATCAAATGCTGTTAACAACATCAGAATTGATGGTCCTTTTACCCCATTTACCGGCTCCTTGACACGGACAGCATCTTCAGCACTTTGCACAGTATTCACTACATTTCTCTCCTGTGCAGGGTCTCTTAAGTACGGATACACCTGAACAAAACCTCTACCCTTTTCCACACGTTGACCTTCTTGTAAGCACCACGAACAACCAAATTTTCCATTGAACTGTTTCAGGTTTTGCAATGCACACCTTGCTACAGAATCACATGTACAAATAAGCGTAAACACTTTAGATGTCTTCTGAGCGCCAGATTCTTGGTCTTTCCATGAGAAACCATTTTCTGCCAAATCATTACACTCATCGGTGAATGGTTTGAGGAATGCGGTCGGGTCTGGCTTGCCTTCTCCAAACCACAGACCGCACAGCAGTAAGTTTTCTTTCCTTAACGTAGGGGGCAACTCATTAATAATACACTGGATCGGCCACATTGACACTTTTGAAGATTTGAATACAGGAACACCATTGGTATTCCACATCATCGATATATTGTTGACGCTCCTAAGTTTTGGCACAGATTTATAGACCCTTCCATCAAAAATGTCCTCAATGTTGTTGGGGCTCAATTTTTGTCTTGTCTGCTTGTATGACAAGTGTTGGGAAATTACACTGTCATCAAAAATTTCTGTCAACTGTGACTTTAAGGAGCTCACAAGGAAAAAGGTGCCTTCCTTGACAAGGTCACAACGCGAGTGTTGTGCATTACAATTAGAGCAAGTTATCAATCCTTCATTTGCAAATTCTCCAATGTAAATCAGACAAGCAGGACAGTAAAAATGGACCTTGATTTTCTCTTGTGCACTTTGTATGTATTTGTTCAACATGAACAGTGTTCCGGGAATATTACTTGGGCCTACAATAGTATCAATTAATTTCAACAGGTCTTGTATTGCCAGCTTTGTCAAAGAATGCTTTAATGCATATGCAAAAATCATTGTAACGACTTGGCCAACTGACAATTCAGATCCTGGGAGTATGGGTTGACTTGCTTTGTTCATGTCGTCTTCTCCAAGCTTATCATCATCCCCATCATCATCAGCATGTTGGTGGTCAAAGATCTGAATTGCAAAGAAAGGTATTTGATTAAAACTTCAGAGGAATCGTGCAATGAAAATACATGGAATGGAAGATTAAGGCTTCGGGCAACACATACATAAATATTGATTTTGTTGGCAGTTGACTGATTGATTTATTTTATTATTCAGCATTTTTGCCGGGAATGCCCACGAAAGTCTTTTGACTTATTTCCAGTGGGGTCCCCTCATTGGTTTGGCTGCATAACTACTTTACCAGGATTTCTCCCTGCTCTTTACGAGAAGTGAAGTGGGTTCTTTTACATGCATGGCAAATGGCTCTCCCACACATGAGAGCGATGGCTTAAAAGTCTCTTCCGAAAGACTAAGCAAATGAGGATAAACGCCTTGCCCAAGGGCGCTACTACTGGGGCTGGGATTCAAACTCTGCATGGAAGTCCGAGTTCTTGTCCGCTAGGCCACAACAGCTCCTCTGAGCATGCATGGGTGCCTTTAGGTTTTTCAAGTCAAGCTGGCCGAATTTCAAAGGGTCAACAACTAAAAAGAAATTACCTTATTTGACCAGAGTTTGACCACATCTTTTTTACCAAAAAAGTAGTAAAGCTTTAGATGTTCTGTTGCATAACAGACACAGAAAGCCAAGTCTAATGTCTGGCTTGCCAAAAAACATAGCAGCAAGAAAGTGTTTATTTTGAGAGTGACTTCGGAGAAAAAATGCAATTTAGTGACAGTTGTTTATTCTTGGAGTAAATGAGTATTAACGTATTCCTAGACTGAACTTGACGCACCTGATCAACAGGCTCCATTTCTCGGTTGCAGTGATTAGGGTATCCCAGGCAGTCATGTCCATGGTTGCCACTCGATTCAACTGAACTTCCGATGCTGCTGGTGTCATCTCCAGAAGTGTACTGTAACTCTCCCTAAGAAGAGAAAATATGAAGTAAAAGTGCAAATTGAAGCGTATACATGTAAAACACCCAAAATAGCTTCAAATGAATGTTCAAATATTTTAGAGAGATTTTAGAGTTACCTCTGCAATAATTTAAGTCATAGATTTACACTCAATGCGCGATGCCCAAAAATGTGTTAGAACTTTTAAAACACACCTGTTCAGAAGCTTGACTGTCACTGTCTATACAAGTACATGGTGTAGGGTTGTTCTCATCCTCAGACAACATGTACACAGGGTCCTCTGGGTAAGCCAGCTCCACAGCACAGTTGGCTTCAGTTGTCACTGAACCTTCTTCATTGAGAGGCAAATCATTATGTACATTAGGGACCATCTCATCATCAGAACTGCTGTTTTCTCAATGACACACCTGATACAAAAAATTAGTTCTGGTTACAAACTGACAAATGAAAGACTACAAACACGTACACTGTAGGACCTAGTCGTGAAGATACAAGTAGCTAGAAACAACAGTGGATTGTGCTAAATTGCAGCAGTGCCTATCTCATTGTCAAATACAGCAAGCCAAGTGGTAAACAAAAATGGTTGGGGACAAAAGCAAAGCGACAGTACAGCTAAACCATGTCAATCAATTGTCATGATTGCCTAGCAATTAATGAGTTTGCGTAAAAGTGGCAACAAGAAACGTTGGGCATGTTTGGGTGGCAATCATGGCTATGAACATGCTATGAACAATATGCTAAAACTAAATTACATTCCCCAACCATTTCCACAATTTTTCCTTTGCTTTTTTTTACACCCAATTGCTAACATTAGTCCAAAATCTACAAATGTACTTCATTTGCATGATGGCACAGTGGCCAGGTCCCTAATTTCAACGCCTATTGACAAGCGGCAAAATCAAGAACCCAGTGACTGCACCTGTACATGCACGTCACATCCCATAACCAGTCATGCTAATTGCCGTCAACAGATCGTCAGTCAACATACCCTCAGCACACCGATTTGCCGTCAACACACCGTCAACACATCAAAAATGCAATCTGGACAAATTTTCAGTTTTATGATATCATATGGCTGAAAGAATATTTCCGGCAAAAGAATAATGGGGTAAAAGATCTGAAAATTGAGACTTTCAATGCAACGAAAGTGCCACCACATGGCCAGATGTGGCAGCAATGTTGCTTCTAGCACAACCGGACCGTACCATTCAGCCTAAGGGGTGGTGCAATAACCAACGAACCAGGAGAGGGGTGTCGCCCGAATTGAAGCTTCATGGCAAATTTGTATCACTATCGGCCACATGGATGATGTAATGTATGCGTACAATGATACAGTGTATTGTCAATATGTTAATGACCCTGAGTGAGCATGCGCAGAGCACGTATGGAATAAACCACCCTTTAGTTCACTGGCAACAACGCTTCAACCCAGTGTGAGTTACTCCTCAGAACATTACAAATTGGCGACGAGGATGGGATGTCTGAGCCACATTTTTCGTGTTGGGATCACCGCAAAGTTATATAGCCCTCATACAGCTAAGTTTTAGGTGGATTTGCTGCACCAAAACAAATATTTGCGGACTTTTCTGGAGCGAATCTTCGTGAGTCATCGGTAGTTTTCTGCACGGTGACCGTGTGCGTACACATACACACAGCGTACACGTGAGTGGTCCTAGACACGAGACATTCACGCGATCGTAGTGCACAGGTCAAGGGTCGCAAACAACGAGACAAGATGGCCGCGCCCACGCCGATGGGGTACATCGGAAGTCTCGGTCCTTACGACAAAAGTAAGGAGCCGTTCAGCTCGTATATGGAAAGAGCGGACATGTTCTTCAAGGCAAATAATATCAAAGAGACTAGCGGCGAAGGAGAGGCTGTGACCGCGGCAAATGAGGCCGTTCGCGAGCGTATGAAAGCGATTCTGCTCACGGAAATTGGACCCGAAGTGTACGGCACAGTGGTGAACCTCCTCGCACCTAAGAAGGCAAAAGAAGTGCCTTACGCAGATATCATGAAGAAGTTGGAACAACACTTCAACCCAAAGCCTCTGGAAATTGCCGAAAGCTACAAATTCGGCACCAGAAACCAGAAGCAACATGAGACAATCAGTGAGTACATTGTTGCCTTGAAAAACTTGACATTGCATTGCAACTTTGGAACATTTCTAGATCGCGCATTACGCGACAGATTTGTTTGTGGCCTCGTGGATGAGCGAATCCAGTCCAAGCTTTTGAACACTGCAGACCTTACATTTGAGAAAGCATGTAAGATTGCCACCACAATGGAAATGGCAACAAAGAATGCTCGCGAGTTTCGTCCGCCACAGCCAGCAGCAGCTGTTCATAGCCACAAAGCGGTGCCAACAGCTAAACCGAAAGCTGTAAAACCCAAACCGAAGCATGGAGAGTCGAGTTCTGCCAGTTGCTACCGCTGCAATGGTAATCACTCACCCCAGTCCTGTACGTTCAAAACGGCTAAATGCTTCAATTGCCAGAAGAAAGGCCACATCTCCGCAGCATGTCGCGTCAAGCCTAAAACAGGCAGCAAACTCAGTACAGGAAACAAGCGACAACAGCAAAAAGGAGTTCATAACCTGGAAGTGAACCCAGATGGAGATGAACTCGGGTTGTATACCATATATGCAACCGGCATCGACAAGCCAATGGCCAACCAAGGCAAGGATTTTCGAACAGAGATATTGGTGAATGAACAGTTGATCGACATGAGAATCGACACGGCTGCGGACTGCTCAGTTATGAGCGAAGACTTGTACGAAAACAAGTTTTCCCATGTACCACTCAACAAGAGTAAGGTTAAGCTGAAAACATACTCCGGCGAAATTTTGGAGACTTGCGGACAAATGGACTGCAAAGTTCGACACAATGGTCAGTCAGTCACACTGCCCATTATTGTGGCCAACTACAGAAACAAGCCAACGCTCCTGGGGAAGGATTGGCTGAGTAGACTTAATCTGGACTGGAAAAACATTTTCAGCATCGGCTCATCCAAATCACGTCTAGACAGTCTGCTAAGCAAACATGCAGACATGTTCGCTGACAGCTACACAGGGATAACAGGTTACGCTGCTCATATCCGACTTAAGCAAGATGCAAAGCCCGTGTACTGCCGGCCGCGACCTGTACCATATGCACTAAAGCGACAAGTCGAGGAGGAACTGGACAAGTTGGAGCGCAACGGAGTGCTTGTGAAGACAGACCAGAGTGACTGGGCAACCCCAGTCATGGCTGTACCCAAAGCCGACAAAACTGTTAGACTCTGCGGTGACTACAAAGTCACAATCAACCAAGTCGTTGATGACGAGCAATACCCATTGCCGACCTCGCAAGATCTGTATGCAGAACTTAGCGGAGCAAGAGTCTTCACTAAACTGGACTTGTCTCACGCATACGCCCAACTCAATGTTGACAAGGAAAGTCAACCGTACCTCACCATCAACACTCATAAGGGCTTGTATTCATATACAAAGCTGCCCTATGGTGTGAAGTCCTCCCCAAAGATCTTCCAGTCAGTCATGGACAAAATGCTGAAAGGCATTCCACACTGCGTGTGTAACCAGGATGATCTGCTGATATCCACAAAGGATATGGATGAACACCTGGAAATCCTCGAGCAGGTCCTCACGCGATTGGATAGCCACAACGTAAAACTGCGACAAAGCAAATGTGCATTCGCGCAGTCAGAAGTGGTCTACCTCGGACTCAAGGTAGACATGTATGGACTTCGTCCGGTGAAGGCGAAAGTCGAAGCCATCGCGAACGCTCCAAAGCCAAGCAATGTGTCAGAGCTGCGATCATTCCTCGGGATGGTGCAGTTCTATGCGCGATTCCTTCCAGACCTCGCTACAGTACTCAAGCCACTACATCATCTACTGCAGAAGGATGTAAAATGGACGTGGGGGAAGGAACAGCAAAGCGCGTATGACATCTGCAAGAAAAACTTGACAAGCAGCGACATGCTTGTACACTACGACACGACACGTGAACTGAAACTCGCCTGTGATGCTTCAAGATATACGCGTAGGCGCAGTGATCAGCCACGTCATGGACGATGGACAGGAAAAGCCCATCACCTTTGCATCTCGAACCCTATTACCAGCGGAACGTAATTACGCACAGATCGAGAAGGAAGCACTTAGCATCGTGTTCGGAATCAAGAAATTCCATCAGTTTCTCTTGGGCCGACCCTTCACTTTGGTGACCGATCACAAGCCACTTCTTGCGATACTCGGTCCCAAGTCTGCAGTGCCATCCACAGCAGCTTGTAGGATGCAACGCTGGGCAATCTTGTTGTCGCAGTACGACTACAAAGTGGAGTACCGGAGCTCCAAATGCAATGCTGTCGCGGATGCACTCTCCTGCTTACCACATGAGAACTCGAGTGTGGGAGCCGAGAACTCCATCTACACTCTGAACGTGGTGGATGAAGACTTTCCGGTGACTGCAATTGAAATTGCAGTAGAAACCCAGAAAGACACTATCCTCAAGTCAGTGTATGAACAGGCATTGAACGGTTGGTCAGACATCAATGTAGATTTGAGGTCAGAGTTGAAGCCTTATCATAATCGACGTCATGAATTGTCATGTGAGCAGGGATGCATTAAGTGGGGTAACAGAGTGGTCGTACCAGAGTCCTTAAGAGACAAAATTTTGTCTGAACTCCATGCCGAACATCCCGGCATAGTGATTATGAAGTCAATCGCCAGAAGTTTTGTATACTGGCCCGGCATTGACGGTGATATCGAATCACTAGTGGAAAAATGCAGCGTGTGCCAAGCTTGCAGAAACAGACCACCAAAAACACCACTACAACCCTGGTCATGGCCAAGTAGACCTTTTCAGAGAGTACATGTAGATTTTTGTGAAAAGGGCAATGATCACTTCTTGGTACTCGTAGATAGTCATTCTAAGTGGATTGAGGTTAAGCACATGGGTTCAAGCACTACTACTGAACGTACCATAGATGAGTTGAGATCAATATTTGCCTGTCATGGGTTACCCGAAGAACTTGTTTCAGACAATGGGCCACAATTCCGTTCGGAACTGTTTAAAGAGTTTATGCGACTGAATGGTGTCAAACATACACTCACTCCACCGTATCATCCGGCCTCCAACGGGGCAGCGGAGAGGACGGTGAGAATCGTAAAGGAGGCTCTCAAGAAACAAGTTGTTCAGGGGAACACAAAATTCAGCAAGAAACATTTGGCTAATTTCCTGCTGAAATACAGAACCACACCACACACTACAACAGGGTACACACCCGCAGAATTGTTGATGAAGAGAAGGCTT